ATTGCCTACACAGTTTTTCCATCGATATTTGTAAAAGATCTAGTCTGTAAAACGATGTTTCCTTTAAGGCACGAAGCAAATTTTTAAATGACATTTAAATTAACTTCCCGCTTTGACCAGTGGAAGCGACCATTCTGGGACAGTCTTTGTTTAATTCACGAAAGCAAAATTTCATTTCCTACACGTACGTTAATTGATTAAATCGACTGATAACTCATAGCGTAGCCTTTCATTCTTAGCGAGATGCATCCGTCCGTCTGTCTGCCTACTCCCTGATTTAACGGGAGACCACGTTTCACACACATACAGAACTGTACGTTTCAATCCTTCACGTTTTCAGATAGTACAATACTGAACGTAGTGGTTAGTACTCCCGACTCGTATTCGGAAGGTCCCGGATTCAAAACTCAACCCGAACAGCGGTTACCCTGAAATTTCCGTGTTTTTCCTCGGTCAACCCATTCAAATTCCACAACAGCTTGGTTCTACGTTATTTCCAATTCATTATTCAGTAACCATCCTATAATTCAAGGCGAAATGTCTAAATTACAAAATATGAGACGAGAAGTCGAAATATTAAGAACATGGCAACATATCCCAGAATTTGATCCACTAGTTACTTGTTCGCGAATGCCAGGTTTTACGCGCTATATTTTGAGCGACCGGAAGTGATAACATGTTTACAGGCAGACAAAATGAAGCAGAGCAGTCCTCTTCCAGTGTTAGTGAACGAGCCGGTCACGCATAAGCGATTATTCTCAGAACTGTCCACCGGAAGCTTACATCAAATCACAACACAGCCTCCAAATCAATATCGCATCGTCGCCACGTCCTTTTGTTAATTGGGCTGTGCGCTAATCAGTTCTATTTTTACATCTACGCAAAGAATGTCACAGAGTTCCATACGTAATAATTGTAGAATCTAAACCGCCCTGCCTTCCTACTGACGCGTCCCAAAAATTACGTTTTGTTGTAGAATCGTTTACCATTACCACAAAATATTAAATTTTGTGTTACCATGGATGTTAAAGTATTGCTCGTGGTATTTCGCCAATCTTAATGAGTGAGGGTTTCTCCAGCAACAAAAATATAGACATTTTACCAGAGCCGATCCCCCATATGGGTGCATCGCACTCGGCCGGCAGCATTTGAGGGACGGCAAGTTGCTATGGGGGCACAGAATTTTGAAGCATCGCATTGGAGTGCCGAAAATCAGGGGTGGAACCAGAGGGTAGAAAAGTACGCAATTGCCTACAGGAGTCACGGTTGAAGGGTCGCTAAAAGGAACTGAAATCCATCCATAATTAAACATGGTAATCTAAAAATATAAAATTTTAGTATTTGTACATAGGGACAGCAGATATGATCGGCGTGAGTCTCCATTTTACAAAGACAGTTACCCACTAAAGTTGAAGTTCGGAACGACTTCAGTGCACGACACGGCTTAACCACAAAAGCCAAAATTAAATAAACTTCAGTACAGTTTCTATTTAAGTCATCGTTTGAAAATTCTCATGAATCAGTACGAGGCAACCTTTAAGAAGCCTCAGACTGGATCTAACTTTCTCATTATGGCTGTGGGGCATGATATTAAAATATCAAGTTATTACCGACAGCTGACAGAAATCAAGTCTTTAGTCTAAGCTCGTGTAAAGTTTAAAAGTATCGAATTGTTTCTGTTAAAAACATAAAACATCTTGTTATTTTACACATGAAATAGATTATAGTTTCAAATCAAAAAAATGCATTAAAAATCGTATAACTTACGAGGGAGTGGCGGGTTAAAAAAGTTGCTGATGGATGGACAGGGAGTTACCCATCCCAGCTTTTAGGTATTCTGAGGACAGGTTTACAACACTTAAATGTAATGGATGCTTAATAAAATTCTGATGTTTCAGAGACAGTCTGTCTTCATCATCAGGAATTAGCAAGCAAAGTAACACACGTTGATAAAAATTGCGTCATTTACGAAAAAAATTTCGGGGAATCAGAATTTGAGGTAAGAGTTCGTGTTTGGATAACCCACCCGCCATGGACGATGGAAACCCGGAAAATTTCACAAAGACAGAAACAATTTCTGAAACACTGCAGTTTTATACCTCATGCACAAAAGACAATTTCCTACAAATATTTTATTGAACAGTATCTGCTACTCAATTGTGAAATAACTGGCCAAATTAACAATACGTATATCTAAGTGTAATGCAATATATTTAAAGTATACACAGAGTGTTTAACTACGATGATTATAACACAGTTAATCACAGCAATAAATAATATATTTGTGTTCAAGGACACTCGTAGAATATTTTTTTATATACTACAAAAATAGTATCAGTGCGTAAGGCTACAGTTAAATATTTTAGAGTGGAAAATTAATAATTGACATATTTGTTGAAAAAAATTACCTAGATTTTTTTTAACACAAAGATAGATAGATAAATATATAAACAATAAATAGAATGATATTTCTAATAAAAATGTGTAACCACTCCTACACACGAAGTATTTAAATTTTGAACCAGTTTGTGATAAAATGTGATTAACGCAACTTCAAAGTCCCTGTGGTAAAAACCACTTCTAGTGTTATTTCAAGTATGAGAACATCGATAATTATTTTTTTTTATATATACGGTCATTTTACCACACAATTTTAAAATAAAAGCAACAAACTATGACCAATATCATTATTACCATTTAATTTATAAAATATATAGCACTGATACATGCCCCCCACCCCCCCAGATCAGCTGTAAAGTTCAAAAAAAAATAGCGTAATGTCACTGTAACGCAATAGACCCACAAGTTTAATTTGTGGTTTTCTGACAGTGACGATATTTCAATAGAACAACGTCACTGTAACCCACAAATTTAATTTGTGGTTCTCTGACAGTGACGATATTTCAATAGAACATGACTTGAAGATACATAACGAAAAACATTAAATAAAATATAGTCAGATGGGCCGTTTTTAAGAGAAAATCTTGTAGACTAAGAAATATGATATACATTTCGTATTTCCTGGGTGAAGTCAAAGATTAATTTTGACAGTTTTGTTAACAAAATCCATCACAAACCAGGCCAAAGATAACCTACCAAGTAAGTTAGTACGTAGCGTCAGTATATGTAACTACGCGATCTCACCTTCTTAACTGTCCGTAAATTTACACACAGATCTTTACAGCATACAGTGAATTGAAATAAAATAATTTTACATATAAAAATTGTGTAAGAACTTCTAAATACATTACGATAAATCACAAAGCATTTATTCCTCTCAGCCCCTGTGTATAAAACAGGATAAAATACATGACAATCATTCCAAGATTCAAGCCATCTGAAATATCATCCTACTATTTTCAATGAAATACATTTTATTCGTGTTTACAAAACAAAATGTCGACTACCAAATTATACAAACAATTTCGAAATAATCCAATTTGCGGTTTAGCGAATTTTTCAATCGCTTTTTTTTTTGTTTTGCGACAAATGCGAGAAGTAAGAGATGAAACTTTCATGATGACTGAATGCGATCGGCCGTGTGAGAATTTCATTGTAATCCGTTGCTTCAGAGATCGTCTCTGCCTCCTCTCACGCGGGAGATCGCCAAAGAATACTTCGCTGCAATGTCAAATTTCATTTCTGAACGCATTCCACCTAACAGCCCCCCATCTAAGCCGCAAAATCTCTAATTTATATAAAAAAAACCCTACAATTCTACAAGCGAAATAAAGGAAAACAAACAGCCACAAGTGACGTGAATCACTCGCGGAAATACGTAAATATACAAAATGGTAAGAGAATCCGGTAGTAACTTCTTTCCATACAATCGTCTCCTGTTTCTACCTAAAGTACCTTTCAAAACTTCACATATTATACTTAAAACAACTTAACAGTGACAACTTGTTAAGTAACACTTACATAAACTTATCACACGTAACGCTGAAGAGAGAATTAACGCCATCTGAAAGAAATCTAACATACGAAGAATACGTACGATCCAATTCCTTAAAGCCACCAAACACGGCATTAAACAATTCAAAGTACATTAATAAAAATATAAATAATTAACAGATCTATAAAAATAACAAAATATTTACAGACTAGAATATTTGAATTATTTATTTCTGAAGGCTTGCAAAAAAAAAAATCTCTATCAAATTACGATATCTAAAAACAAAATGTCGTATAAGAAAATTGTGTCTTTTATTTACAAATAATTCATATGCAAATTTTATGTACGTATAACAACAAGCTCATGAAAATAAAAATGAGCAAAATTGTGAACAGGAAAGTAAAGATTCATCTGAACATCATGACTGAAGAAAATCACGTCAGAATATTAGGTTCGTGGCAATAATTCAAATCGATTAATTCCAGAACGTGAGTCAGACGTATCACATGACGTCAATCTGCTGAGATCTGTTAGCCTAAACCTCATCAGCTGAAATGAAATATTTAAGTCCTGGCTGGGCAAATGCCAGAGAAGTTGGAATGAACGGTACAAAAAATATTATTAAAACGGATCTTAGACGACGACGGTACGAACAGGTGGAACGGATTTAACCGGCTCATAACAGGTTCAAAGGTGAACCTACGTAAACATGATCATAAACTTTAGGTTTCCTTAAAATCAAAAAAAATTCTCTACCAGAACAGCAACTATCAGCTTTTCAATTAAGCTCTTTGCGTTATTAAGTCAGCAGTTTTGAAGACAGTAATATTTTGAAATCATCGAACACGACCGTCTTCCGCGTTGTTGGCCACGTAATCTGGCGGAAGTTTACGAAGTTTTAAGAGGCACTTGCTGCCTCCACCATCAACACGATGACGCAGCGAGCGCCTCTTAAACTTCCGCCAACACTAATGAAAATTACCAACACAGAACTCGCAAATTTGTGCAATACGGGAATCAAATGCGTGAGTGTTTTAACGAAATGACGAGAAATACTTTCCTGAATTCTGAATCTGAGGACAGAACATTAAAAATTAATTTACGATATTAGAATATAATTCACGAAAAAAAAAATTGTTGAAATGAATTTTGGTATACTGCTTCTGCAAACTTGAAAAGCTGCTTTCCTCCCTAACTAATTTTAACGAGTACTTGAAAAACTTCCAGTTGCTCAGCTACTCAAGAAACTTCCTCCATTTGATGAATTCAAAACGTTCATCAAAGGAGTGAACCACCGAATTCAATCCTGAGCCACAAAATAAATTCCGTAACCTACTAAACTATTTATTTTAACAAAATTTTAATATCATTCCACCACGCACACCTAGATTCTTTCATCCACGAACTCATCCTACACTCTCGAACTTCCAACGTAATCAATAATAATACTGCACGTAGAATGTGGTTTGATGATACAACGAATACAATTACAAAAACTTAAATTTAAATATATATTTTCTTAATGCAGGTAATGATTGATTTGTAAACACCATTCAACAAAATTCTTTCGGTACTCGAACGATAAAAAAATATTAAATTATAATTAAATTCTAGCAGTAGGTACCAATCAATTAACATAATTTTCAAAATTCTGTTGGTAAATGAAATTTAAAATACTGATATAATTTTTAATATACGAGTACCTTACGTACTTTATTACCCGATATAAATTACGTTACATAAATATTTCAAGCGATTCTGTAATTTAATGACAGCAAAAGTTTAAAGCACGATACTACTTAATATCAATCTGGTACTAAACAAATATGATTAATCGTATTATTACGTACGAGTATATAAACAGATATTACATTTATATTATTGCCGCCACTAATAAGCATACAGAAAATATTATCTTTTTTTTTTATTTTTAAAATTTGCGTGAGATTTCTTGGTCCTTTACATTGCTGAGAGATGAAACAATCATAAATAATATGAATATTATAATATTATTAAAACGTTTCATTGTATCTGTGCAGTTACAGGGAAGGGAAGTGTCATTTTTTTATATTAATTTTCTAACAATTATTATTATTATTGTTATTATTATTCATGTACTAAATTTGTTTAGAACATTTGCTTTGATAATATCTGCGAGTTTCCACAGACAATAGAACCTAATTGAGCCGAGTACACGCACGCGCGCAAGCACACATATATACACGCGCATGCGCACATATATACACGCGCATGCGCACATATATATACACGCGCATGCGCACCTAATTACTACGCTATTCAAACATCGCCTTGGCATAAACTAATTCCTGCCACACTGGCAATAGCTACTTTAATTAACCACGTGGACTGTTAGAAGCACGAGTGTCATCAACCTCACGGACAGATGACAGCACACTCACCTTGTAAAGAAACTCCGCCTTACATGGAACCCTAAGGCTAAATACCACGTTCACAAGCGCCCATGCAACCTCACCCTGTACATCCATTTTAATATTATCCTCTCATCTACACCTAGCATTTGTGAGTGGTCTCTTCCCTTCAGACTTTCTATTACTTTTCATACACAGATGATCCTGTGGGTTGTTGCACTGTCAACATTTCAGATGAACACACTGCTTCCATCATCAGGGCTGAATGACTGATTTGGTGTTCATGAGTAACTTCATTATAAAGTCACTTACGTCGCACGACAAAATTACAACAACAAAAAAATAATAGAACGTGTTTGTTTCTTTACCTTCTATCGTATACAAAGTGAAAAGTTCAAATTCCAACTAAATTCCGCTAAAGATAAAAATTGATCCATCGACCCGTATGAAACAAAAAAAGAAAAATACTGGAGGAGGATACGAGATACAAAATTTATTTAAGACAATGAATAATTAATTAGAGTTGGACAACTGATTCAACCAGCTGAAAAAAAAAATTCTGGTAATTCGCGACGACCAGCGCGCTTACATACATTCATACTTCTACACTCTACAGTCCACTGCAAACTCAAACAGCGAAATATTACGTCGGTTTACGCTCCCTAATGCGACGCTAACATGACCTACGCTGCATAAATTACTAACTTGTTTAATATATCGTGCATAGACTGTACGTGTTCTATAAAGTACTGGCACTGCCAAAACCGAGACATTCGATGGATATCTTCGCAGGTACATGAACAACGAAGTCATCCCAGTCACTGACGCACGTCGCATCCCACATCAACTAACGCAGCAGACAAATTAAAACTCTATACAGATTTACCTGCGTACATTCATAGAACATAAATATATCATTAAATTAAGCGGTGTTTCTTTGCGAAAATAATAGCACCAAATATTTAGTGGTTCCTTATTAATGTTATCATATTTACTGTTGTGGTGGTGAGGTGAGACTACGTCTCGACCGTCTCGATGGAACTGCAGCCACTAAAGCAAGTCTGGCTCGATGGAACCCGAGCCGAGCCGGACTCGTACGTGGATGGGCCGCTTAATGGTCCAATTGTCTATCCCACAGATGAAGCATGAATTAAAAATGAACGACTTGTATAAAAATCTGTCCCAGTGTGACTTCGGCCATGACAAAACCCTGTGGATCGACCCGGGAAACCACGACGAGAAGCCGGCAAATATCCACGTGGCACTGCCTAGCGTTCTCTTCATTCACGGACTTTTCTGTTGTTAAGTTGGTACGATGCAACCCAAGTTTAAAAAAAAATACGTAGTCTTACTTAAGAAATTTTTATAGAGCCCAAAAATTTTAATGATAATTTTATTCTTAAAACCGCTTACTCGCAAGAAAACTGTTTTGCAATTCAAAAATAACTGAACCCTGAGCAACGTACAAAATACAAAGTATAAGTCGTCAAGTGCGTTTGTAACTCGGGGACTTCCCGTACTTTCGTTACCTTCTGGGGTCTTACCCCGCCAAGGCTACATTTTTACAGTGCGATATTACGTTGTTTTACCAACAGTTCGGCGTTAATTAAGATATATATTAAACGCAAGGACTTGTTACGAATACCCGCAATCCTATAAAACTAATTACTTTTATCATCAGCTGAGCAAGCTTCGAGGTGCTATTCACCAACAGCAACGTTCATCCTAAAAAAAAAAAAAGCAAAAATTTCTCACACTTTTGAACGTACTATACAGAACGCGCTACACAACTACATTTTTTGTGCTATTTTTAACTCTGTATATCTGGCTCACATGCTGATTATACAGTGACTGAAGCATTATAATTGACTATTGCGACACATTTAATTTTATATTATGTACGACTCTTCTATATCCCGGGCGCCACTACGTATCGAGGACTCCTCCCCCTACCCACACCAAAAACACAGATCTCTATGCCTCATAAATCACATTCATAAGACGACTCTGACGCAGCGTCAAGAAAAATATTCATTCTTCTTCTTCTATGGCTCTCCGGACCGTATTCGATCCGTGGCCTCCTCGATTCTCCTCTTCCGTTCGTTCCTATCCTCCGCTGTCTTAGCGGGGGATAGGACCGAACGGACACTTACACCCCAAGTAAATTTCAAGCTCATGAATCAACATTAATATTTCCATCGTATTACAAGTACGTTACCTCCGCGTAAAATACGACAAGTACTTTCACTAAATTTGTGCAGGCCGAGATGACTAACGTTACAACTGTAATCAGACTATGACTTAAACCTTTCGCAAAATATTATCCCATAAATTTTTATCCGATACTCAAGCTACTCTGGAGAGCTACGACATTTCAAAGTCACTACCGATTCTTGACGTCCCGTCTTTAATCTACAAGTCTACGTTACTGTGATCGCCATATCATTAAGCTAAGGTCCTTAATTTCTGATTTCTACATCTGGTGATAACCTCTCCTTACAGTAACCTCCATTCTACAGAGCAATAAGCCTCGTTCCGCAGTTTTTCCACTTCTCTTGAAGTTTCCTGTGTTCCTCTATCTGATGTTCCGTTACGTGTCTTCCCGTGCTGACGTAACTGCCGGCTTTCAGTTTTCTAGGATCTAAATTTGCACCAAGGTTCTGCATCCCTTTAGCAAATTTTGAGAATGGCGACAGGACCAGATCTTTGGTCGCGGCGGCCGGACTCGTGATGACGTTCGTAATTCCGCTACGGATCGTTTTAATCGCGCTCTCGCTCTGTGACGAGGTTATGTTCAAGCTGACGTCGTGCACGGATGACGACCTCTGACCTTCGACGAGCTGCCCTGATTGGCCGGTTAGGGCGCTCTTTGAGGACGGATCCGCATTCTTCTCGCCTTGATCTTTCGTATTTTTGTCTTCTTTACCCCTGCCTCCCTGCCTTCTGTCCACCTCATCCGAGGATAGGGACAACTTACGAGCAAGCTGAAGCGTATTCGGGGGAGTCAATTTCGCTTTCAGTTCGGTTTGTTGCGATTTGGAGCCCGATTCATTTGGCTCTCCTTCTGACTGTACCTGCTTCATACGGGAATCTTCTGGAACGAAAGGCTTTTTATCAGCTCTTAAAGCCGCTATTATAGCAGATCTTTCATCTTGAGCAGCTGTTGTATTTTCAATAGTAATTTCGGGTGTTGTTGAACCACCTCTGTGGGGGCTTGGGGTTAGAGAAGATTTTCTAGACGTCGTAAGACCAGCAGATGAGAAAGGCGGAACAAGACTAGAAATATCGAGACTTAAATCTGTGCGGGAATGAGTAAGAACATGACCATGGATAGAAACATTCTGAACTACTCGAGAAAGAGAAACGTTATCTATTAGAGGTGCCGCGGATGGCTGGAAACGGAGAAATGGATCCAGCATTCTGTGGGTATCAAGGTAGGAATGGTTTACATTACCTCTAACCTTCGTACTCATGATAATTCCAACATCGGGTAGGAACAAATCGGTGAACTTCCCTTCTGCAAAGAGATCGGTTCTTGTTTGACACAGAGGATCCTGTTGTTGAGACAAGAACGATGTCTGATGATGCCGAACGTATTCAAAAGGAGCTACCTCTTCTTCTTCATCACTGGAATGCTTTGAAACTGAAAATGTAGAGTTTGCATCTTGTGGCGCATTATCTGGAACTCCGACAGTGAAAATTGGTCCTTGTTTCTGAAACAAGTACGTCATTCCAACATATAGGTCCAAGAAGTAATTACAGAAATGTTTACTGCCCTCCTTTGAAAATCTTATGATTCTGAACATTTTTTAGTCTTTCACTGTGACCATAAAATACAGTGTGTCCACAAAGTCCCTTCGGGGTTTTGAAAAGTTGTGGCGCGCAAACAAATTGAGCTTGCCACATGCGGTTTGCGGCAGATTACAGTGAAACTCTGGAATTTTTTACTAACCTCAGTAGACCTCGATGTGGGTTCCCTTGGTAGCACGGAGAACGTCCAGACGATATTCGAGCTCTTGCCGCGTTCTGTGGAGCACGTCCGCTGGAATAGCCGAGATCGCGTTCCCGATACGGGTCTTCAGGTCATCAAGTCCGTTAACTGGTGTTCGGAACACATCTCTCTTGACATAACCCCACAGGAAAGAATCCAGTGGTGTTATGTCTGGTGAACGTGGAGGCCAAGGCATTGGACCGCCTCTGCCGATCCATCTTCCTGGAAATGTCCTGTCTAGTTACGCCCGTACCTGCAGACCCCCAATGAGGTGGAGCACCATCTTCCAGAGTTTCACTTTAATCTGCCGCAAACCGCATGTGGCTAGCTCAATTTGTTTGCGCGCCACAATTATTCAAAACCCCGAAGGGATTTTGTGGACACACTGTACATTAAGTATAGACCACAACTGACTAAAATACATATAACTGGAACGCTGGTATTCTGTTAATGACTTACTGACAATTAAATCAATTAGCATAAATGTAGCAGACATGGAGAAAACCAATGCATACAAAATGTTGGTAAGAATAACTCAAAGAAAGAGGCCTTTTGGGACAATTAGGTAAAGACGTAAAATAAATTAATTTACAAATAAAGGCTTGGGTTCAATGGAAAGCTTTTGAAGTGACAGTGATGAACCATATCAAAAGGTAATCTTCTGAATAGTAACGTGTTTACCTTGCCCTTCTCGTCATCTGCAGCCTGTTTTGACTTCTTCGTGTTGAAACTGTGTCCAAGCTTGTTCAGTTTATTAAACTGCTGAGTCACGTTATTCAAGGCCTTCGTACCAACGTTCTTGAGCGACGACAGCTGGGTCTCGGACACGTTGCGAGTCATGTGGGGCAGACGGGTCACATCCAAGTAACTTCCTGGTCCCAGCAAACTGCTACTGTCCGAAGTTAACAACTTGCTCTTCCGCTTGTCCAACTTATTCTGTCTGAATGTTACAGGTGGAAGGTGGGCTATTTCAATTGCAACTATAAATGCTTCACATATTGCTTTCAAGGACTCTGTAAAAGAAAATAACATTTACTTTATTACAGGCAAACAGGGATTTAAATCCCTGTAGCGTGGGGCTGCCGACTGGATTTTAACTTCCGGATTAAGAGTTTAACAGCGTGGTAGTGCAATGCATGAAAGATAAAGGTCACTGTCGTACTTAAGGTTACACACGTATTTCATTAAACTTTCAATAAGAATGCACAAAAATATATTTGTAAATTAAATTTTGGATGAACACAGAACACTTATACCTAAATTCTATGGTATTATGACGTGTCACATGCTGCTACCTTTGGTTACTCAGGGAACTATTGGGATTACCACATGAATTAAAACTGTTAAACACTATATCATAACAAGTGTTTAATTAAACCTAACATGTTTCATCTAATTCTTTGACTTCCTTGGGTATTTTTCTTTATTACGTTATGTAAAAAACATGCTAAGCTACATAAAATAATTTCTGCGTGAAGTCGTATTTGACGGTTTGTATTCGCTTAGTAACAACTGCGTGTAATAAACAGTCATGAAATAAACAAAATTCAGTGAAATGAATTTAAAATTGTATATTCTATAAATTTTCTGATTATAAAATACTAGACACTGGGAACGACCCGTTCTTCAAGTGCCTGAGCACTGAGGGTCCCAACTTTTTCGTTGGCTCGATCTGTAGACGTTCGGTAGGACTCCTTGGACGAGGGATCGGCCCGTCGCAGGGCCTCTACCTGTACACGGGACAGCACGACACAGAAAAACGCGGACAAACAACCATGGCTTGAATGGGATTCGAACCTACAGTCACAGCAGCACGCGGCCCACGCCTCAGACCGCGCGGCCACTGCGGACCCCCGATTATAAAATAAAAATATCAAAGTCTGCAATCAAAATTTATTTTAAATGCAGTCAGCTAAATAGTTCTGTATATAGCCATAAACCTGTATAAAATGTAAAAGCCAAAACAAGATTAAGTTTTGGATATATAACTCATATATGACCTCCCCATAGCACATTTAGTTCACTCATATTTTGCAAAGAGAAATAAGCAAACATCTGATAACTATCCGTACCGATCATCTCCTCGTGTGTCTTGATTCCGACAGCCATGTTGTTGAAGAACCTCAGGTTTGTGGATCTGAATACATGAAAATAACCAGGAACAGATGCCACTCTATAATTCAGCCTGATGCAGTGGTTCCCCGTCTTTGACGTCTGCTTGAACAGTGATACCGGGCCACCGTGCTCCAGAAATCCAAATTCAATCAATGTCAGATCCTGTAGCAGGATGCGCTGGTATTTTGTGACTCTATCCAACTGATCATCATACCTACAAGTATACAGGGTGAGTCAGAAGTATGTTTACAAACTTCGTGTGCGTGTTCTAGGATCAAAAATAAGAAAAAAATTTCCTATGAACGTGGCGTTGCAAATGTTTCATTTTCGAAATAATAGCCAAAAATAAGTTTCAATGAACTACTTTATGTCAAATTGAATCCAGCTTCCAGCAAAGATCTTCAATTAACGTTTGGGCAGGAATTGTTGGCGACATGCTTATTGGTCCACACATGCTTCCATCGCGTCTAAGAGGACCTTCATATCGGCGATTCTTAAAAAGACACTTGCCACGTCTCTTTGAAGATGTACCACTGAATACAAGAAGACAAACGTGGTTTATGCACGACACAGCCCCAGCACACTTCTCCCATCGCGTCAGAGATCATCTCAATGAACAGTTCCCTCACCGATGGATTGGGTGTGGTGGCCCAGTAGTGTGGTCACCGGACCTGATTCCATTGGACGTTTATCTGTGGGGTCACTTGAAGTCCGTTGTTTATGCAACACCCATAAACAATGGTGACGACCTATGGGAACGTGTGCAGAATGCATGCCACATGATTCGAGGAAAACCTGCTGTGTACATCTTGCTTGTGCATGTGTGGGGGATGGAGGAACAACCTCTGAGCATCTGTTATAAATAAACATCCCTGTCCTCATACTTGGAAATAAAGGCATACACTAAAAATTATTTTTGGCTATTATTTCGAAAATGAAACATTTGCGACCCCACGTTCACTGGAACATTTTTTTCTTATTTTTGATCCTGGAACATGCACACAAAGTTTGTAAACAAACTTCTGACTCACTCTGTATATAAATAACTTACAAACTTATCACACATACAAAAACATACCCCTATGGTCAGAGGGTGGGTACAATCTTCCACTGCATACAAAGATAACTGTCAAGTTAGGATTTTTCCTGACTGCAGCATGAAGCGTCTTATTGACCTCCAAAAGGTACAAATAAAAAGTACTGGTAAAAACCATGTTTTTTTTACACTCAAAAAGGACAAACAGTGAAGAGTATGATTTTGTGTAAAATGTAGTGACTTAACCTCTCACAAAATCTAGGCTAACACACACTATTTAGCATATTCAGTGCCTTTTTGTGGTGGTAAACACCAGTACGCAGTACTAGCATCTTTTCTTCAAAACATAAGAGGCAATAAGAATAAACTAAGACTGTCAAACATAACTTGAAAGTATTGCTGCCTTTTATCTACAAAAAGCACTGAATACATTAATATAAATTCTGAGAAACTGCAGACTTGACTCTGTTTGGCCCTTATAACTTTTCACGCAACTTACTCTGCAACATAATACGAATCTCTCGTAAGGATCAATATTGTGTCAATTTCTGTCTCTGTTGGATCACCAGATCTGAAACACAAAACACACATTCCTTGACACCTTCATCAAGAACCAAATCATACAGATCTGCATACGTGATCTATGGCCTGCAATAATTCTTCTTATTCTTCTATGGCTCTCCGGTCCGTGTTCGGTCTATGGCCTCCTCAATTCTCCTCTTCCATTCGGTCCGTCTGTCCGAGGCTTTGATCGAGGTTTCGAAACATCTTCCTTTTTACGGTGCAAGGTTGTTAGCCTTGCGACCAACCCCCAACCAGGAGGACCAGGGTACCTATCTTAGTCTGACCTCTCCCCTTCGACCAGTCTGGCTAGGGAGGCCCTACCAGTAGCTCTTGGGGTCACTGAGTTCACATGTTACTAAATTCTACAAGCTTTACTGCTCACACAACAGACTGCCTGGAATATCAATTCACATTTTAATTTGGCACACAAATAAACAAAATAGATATTATGTATAATATGTCAACCTGCCAACTGTTTTAATAAACAGATTAAAAATCACAAAGCCTGCCTGCTTCTAAATTTAGACGTACATGTACAATTAAATGAACACAGTACATAATACTATAAAACTGAATGGATATTTATTCTCTGCAACTTTGTCTCTATGGTATATTTTACGTGTTCCGCGCTTGGTTCAATTTGTTATTGTGCTGGATTTTTATCTTGAATTGTATGAACTAATTATTTCATTCCCATTTGATTCAAAACAGTTTTTACCAGTTTAGAAAGTCTCAACATTTAAGAGTAAATAATTTATCATATCTCTACATTAAATATGAGAGGATGATATTGAAATGTATTTTAAGAAAATGCATCCTTATATTATGAAATGGGTTGCACTAGCAAAACGGTATTGAACCTTTTAGTTCTAACAGAGTTAACACGTACACAGGGTCTGCATCAATGAGTCCCCACGCTCCCAGAATGATGTCCGTGTCACTAATCAACATCTTTTTACAATCTTCAATGAGTAATTTCACGTGCTCTGCGGTGGCCGCAACATCCACTTCATCATCGGCCTTCTCTTGGCTGAACACATCCTCCGACACAGGATTACCTACAACAGACATCACATTTAGGCATTATACAAGGTTTATTAACCTGGTGACATGACCAGCACAGGTTGTTAGCTGCCGACTTTCCACCACAAAGGCCGAGGTTCACTCCCAGTAAAGTCTATGCTGGATTTGTGGAGGACAATGTGGCACTGGGGCGTGTATCTCTCAGAGTTCTTCAGTTTTCCCCTGTCAATACCATTCCATCCCCCACTTAATGGTACCTGCACCTTGTCGTGGTGGTGGGACTTGAGTACCTCAGTGACCCCAAGAGCTACTGGTAGGGCCTCCCTAGCCAGATTGGTCGAGGGGGAGAGGTCAGACTAAGACAGGTACCCTGGTCCTCCAGGTTGGGGGTTGGTCGCAAGGCTAACAACCTTGCGCCGTAAAAAGGAAGATGTTTCGAAACATCGATCAAAGCCTGGGACAGACTGACCTAACAGAGGACCGAATGGAAGAGGAGAATTGAGGAGGCCATGGACCGAATACGGACCGGAGAGCCATAGAAGAAGAAGAATACCATTCCATCACTGCCCATTCATGCACTCTGACATAGCAACATTAAAATCCTTTCCTCATAGCACAAGGACGTGGCATAATATCAGTCACTCTTTTACTGCTTTCACATGTTGATGCAAAATTCCAACAGGCATGGAAGAAATTGTGAGAAAATACAGTTACAAAGTCTGAGTAAAGCAATTACCAAACCAAAGGTTAAAACATTACGGCTCGTAGCAGGAGAGCTTTGTTTGTTTTTAAACTATAAGCACAAAATCTGAATAAACAAATTCTCTTCACCTTTATGACCTAGTAACACTCACCTAGCATCATATCAATTGTGGCTTGTCTGTATGTGTCCTTGAAGCGACTGAGGTAATACCTGCATAATAAAACAAAAATATACACCCGTTAGTTTAATGAAGCAAAAAATGTACAGAAGCAAGAACAGAGAAGAACCCTCATGTCCTACTGTATAGTGTTCAACGTTTCAAAAACTACCGATATGTAAAAGGTAATTATTTGTTCCTATTAGTTTTAAAGTAAATAATAGGAAATATTTACCGTAGTCATAAATTTATACAAGGCATATTTTGGTAATGTGCTGTAGAAACATGGTCTGGCAGTAGTCAGAGATGTTTTAATGTGTAATAACTAATAATTTCACTTTTTCATAATAGAAATGTTAAAACTCCTCAGATAATTTACAGAAGTTACAAATAACTGGTCTGCACCTGGCAGAGCAATTAGGTGGCATTTAGGAAAGTGAAAGAAAACACTGAATATAACAAACTATCCCAGTCTTTAATCCCAAAATCATAAAAATATGGGGCCACTCCACAGCAAAGGCAGTTACATGACAGCCTCTTACTGCTGGGGCTCAGGTTCAAATCCAGAGCATTACATGTGGGATTTGTGATGAATAAACTGGCAAATGGGCAATTTCTCTCCAGGCACATTGACTTTAACCTTAGAACCTTCACTCCATAACTGATCCACAGTCATTTTTGTTGCCTCAAAGTTGTGAGACAGACCAAAATACTTGGTTCTCACCTCTGATCAGGCACTGGGCTAGATTCACACCTTAAATCTAAAAATATGACTCAGCTGTATTAAACTACCAATTTATCCGTATCTACGGCCACTTCAACCACTATTTGAAGTACAATAATACGACCAAGAAAAAAATATTAAATAAACAAGCTGAATACATTAATACAATTTATGGGGGCTGTAATCTTTTAAAATATTAGACTCCAATTTGCCTTACTTGTGCCAGAAAATTTATTGCACGAAAAACTTTGCTCATTTTCAGCGTTCAAACATATTGTTACATAAGCAGCCAACCCACACATTCACTAGTTCCCTGTTGCAAGGTCTTCAAAGTAGCAAGGATGAGCAGTCAAGAGTTATTTTATTATTCAGCAAATTTCTGTTAGTACGTAAACCAACGACTCCACATTTACCACATAAGTCTGCCATGAGACCCAATCCCAAACCAGTTCAATAAAATCATTTTCAATAAACACTTTAATATTATCCTTACAATTATGCCTTGGTTTCTGAAGAGGCCTTTTTCATTACATTCTTTAAATCAAAATTGTTATGCATTTCCTGTTTCCCTGTATGCAAAGTCCTGTTCCAATCTTCTTAATTTAATTGTCCTAACACAACCAATCCATCCTCTCTCATACGGCAACGTCCTCAGGCTGATTTTGCAGGAATAAACTGAGTTTCAAATCACTGCCTATTATTACTTATATAACGCTCTCTCACACGGCAACGTCCTCAGGCTGACTTTGCAGGAATAAACTGAGTTTCCAATCACTGCCTATTATTACTTATATAACTAGAACAGATAAAATGTCATATTTATGCAAGGTAACAGGAAGTGGGAGTCATGGCAGACACACACCTTGTCATGTGATACATTGCGTTGATGAACTTCATCTCAAGACCAAATTCTATGTCTGACATGTACATAGGCAGAGATGATGGTACCAGAGCCTGCACTATAGAAGCTGCAGTTTGTAACTCACTGGTGCAGTTCTTGAGATCCTCATCATCGACGGTTTGACCCTGCATTATGTCGATACCAGCTTGGCGATAAGAGTCAACAAAGTGACCCAAGTAATATCTGATACATAAATAACATCTCTGGCTAGCAAGTATTTTCAAATTTAAGTACTTTCTTCAAAAATTATATATATATTTCAAGACCTTTGTTTGTTTTTGTTGTTTGTTTTATGTATAAAAATTTATATAAAATTCATCATGAGAAATGATAGAGCACATGACATCTTATAACAGAGTATCTCTAATAACTGTATGAATTAAAAAGGTAAAAAGTTATAAGGTCAAAACTGTTCCTAGGTTCTTGCAAAGTCTGACTTTGTCAGAGAATCCATCTCCATCTGCAAGGTACCAGGTCACTCTGCCTCGGAGATTGAGACAGTCAAATTCAATGAAATGTCAGCAAAACACAAGACAGCAGAATCGAAACATCAAACATAAAAAATTGTAAGTCATTTTTGTGTTAAATGTAAATTCTTTTCAGGTTCACTGACAACGACAAACTGTTTTGTAAACCATAAATCCAATGTCACCTAATTATGTAATTAAATACAAATATTATAACAAATGCAGTTACCTGATAAGTTTGCTGATAAAGACAAGTGGATGGAACAATTGAGAATTTTAATATAATTCAACTAAATAAAACTTCAAATCTACTAAAATAATAAATAATCTTTACACCACATTCTCAAAGTACTTTACACCTAAATAAATTAATAAAATGCACCGACTGACCTGCAACCAAGGGAATGCAGTTCCACAATGAAATCATAAATTCAAGATAATCTGAAAATTTTTAGGATGTTTAGGCATGGAGTGGTTTTTCATAACTTACCTGTTGGCGGAGTTCATTCCATCTTTCATCAATCCTGTAAATTTTCTCTCTCCAGTCCGCGTGTAATCACCCTAAAAACAATCGGTTATAACAAATTCAGCCAACAAGGTGAAGATATAAACTATTACAATTTACTCGTCAAATTACGCAATTGTCCTGTTACTTTCTCCCTCTTGGCTCCAATTATTCTCCTCAGGGCCCAGTTTTTTCTGTAATATGAGAGATCTGAAGGACCTAATGGATTTAATTAAAGCTCTTAAAAATCAATTGTAAATACGATTAAAATTTGATCCCTCAAAGTAAGTTTTGCAAATAAATAACTTTTCATTACATACCTTGAGAGCATTGGTCCCTGCATACTGCTTACTGATGATATCACCATTGTTTGCCCAAAGTAGTTGGAAAGTGTTGCGAATGCTGGTAGGAATATTTCCTTCTGGCGGAATCAAACCAAGTTTTGAGAATTGAATTTCCATCACAGCCTTTGCTATTGCAGTCTGAAATAGAGAGTAAATACAAATCATCTTCATACAACTTTAATGTTATTTTATTATTTAGTGTTCTGTCTGACGACAGGTCCATATGAACAGGATCCTTCCATCCTTTTCTCGGACTGGGACCTGTTCATATACGTTCTTGGCAGATGATCCAGAAGTGGTTTGCCATTGCCTTCTTCTGTGTGTGAATGGAGTAATTGTTGGGATGCCACGGAGGAAAACTCCGTGTTGCCTAGACCACGGCCTTGCCCAACACAAGTTATAAATTCGGGCACCGCCGGGAATCGAACCCGAGACCCCAGGATTACAAGGCCAGCCTTATAACCGCTAGACCACCGTAACTAACTTTAATGTACAACAAAATAAAATAGAAATTCATCCAGACCTTAATCACCTACCACAATAATCAGTCAAATTTTATTTTCAAAACAATGTTTTTAGACCCTTTTCACAATTCATGCAAATAAATGAAAAAGAGTGTATGTCTGCACGTCCAAACATTAATTAATGTTACGATCATAAACAATTTCTGAAATCCTGGGCAACGTCTGTATAACTAACTTGGCTTCAAGCTTTATCTCGCAAACACGTCTTCTTCTTGAAGCATTTTCCGTTACTTATTTTTAATTCGCTACTGTTACCATGTGACCGGCAGCTAGGTGGGTTAAAAATTTCTAACTTCCAATGGCGCACATCAGAGAGATATTTATGGCAGAAAATCTGAAATCTTTCGGCAACATTTTCAAGTACTCCTTGATTGAAGACTTTTTTTTTTCAACAGTCTGCCCTCCACCACTGCCAAAATTACAATACCGAGCTGCAAGATTGTGCTTTGTGCTGGTATTCGTCACAAACTCAAAAATCACAATGCAAATGCTGGATATGCATTGAAGACAGAGTATTCGAAAACGCACCTGCACGACATTTGTTCGGTCAAGACAATCGATACAGTTGACCCTAAAGATGCCTTTCTGACTGCATATCTGGCCTTCACTGTCCGTCCAACAGTAGTTCATATCCCGGATGACATCCACAAGACTGGCAATCAGCACCGACACATTTTCAAAATGCATACCTCGGCTGGAAAAAAGAAAAATGACTTTCGACGTCTGCATCTACATATACGCACTTCCATAAAGAGATTAACTACCAATATGAAATTTGTCAACTTAAAAATTCATGTGTGTACGCTTCCCACATTAACTGCAATATGGAAACCATTATTTAATATTAAGGAAATTAAATGAAGCAAAAGATAAAAAAATTTAACCAAGCATCAACTTGGCTAATTTACATTTCCACTTACCAGTATTCGTGGAAATCAAAGGTAGCATACGTTAAGTCTAGGCTGTTATATGCGAGGATATGGTTGGTGTAGGCATCCCAGATTATCTTCTCTTTTCCGGCTTGATCCACTAGATTCACAATGCATACTGGTCCATAAATGGCTATTTCCTCTGCAAAGTGTTTTTCAAAAGCCATCTGTGTCTCCGTTTCCCCTTAAAAAAAATTACAGTAGAACAGTCGTTCCAAAATGTAGTTGCGGTTCTTTCCTTTTACAAAGGAAATGACTTCTAAAACATCGTCGTTAATTTTACCTTAAGGGCTGTGATGCCGTGCAGTCTTGCAGGTGGTCACCAACATTCAGATAAACACCTCCCCTCCACCTTTTACCTTGAAGATGAAGGTTAAATGAACCACCTAAATGTTGATAACCACCTACAAGACTACATAGCGTATAAGCCCAGAAAACAACAACAGGCAGGTATTTTTTTTTGTAACAAGGGACTTAATATAATGAAGGACTGTTGAACCTAAATCCAACCACAAAGTTCGAGGGCCATCCCTTGTCAGCTGTCCATGATTGCTTAATCAATTTAATAAATAATTTTCAGCTATCCACCATATCTTATGGTAATCTCCTCCAGCTGACAAATTTAGTATGGGTGTGAAATAACTTTAAAGTATGCAGAACGACAGTCGACAGGCAGAAAATTTTATCGAACGGATAAATCGCCTTACCTTTATCGATACGAGGAGGAGGTCTGTACTTATAACCCGGCTGGGACCAAAACACTGGAACAGAACCTCGAACTTGCACAAAAGACACTTGGTGGTGGTGATGAGACACTATCTGCTCGGTCTCAACATAGTTGGCACATTTTCCATCTTCATCAACCCCACGTCGCTTGTAACGAGTACCGGCTCTGAAACGGCTGCGACGGGAGATGAGACTCAGAGTAAACGTCTGTAATAAGGGATTACAAAAGAATAAAAAAAGTTACTTGATTAGGCAGATGCAGAATGGTTAAAAATGTTACATTACTTCACATTTACAAACTTTCAATTACAGACCATTACTGACTAAAATTATTTTATGAGTCAAAAAGCATCACTTTCAGTAAATATGATGGTAACGTATCTCATATTTAAAAGAGCTGCCATATCTCAAGATAATAAACAAAAGTCTACTTATGATAAATCTAAAATGTTCCATAACAAATTGTAACATAATATTCATTATTTATTTAGTGTTCTGTCTGCCGACAGGTCCATATGAACAGGATCCTTCCATCCTTTTCTCGGACTGGGACCTCTTCATATACGTTCTTGGCAGATGATCCAGAAGTTGTTTGCCATTGCCTTCTTCTGTGTGTGAGTGGAGTAATTGTTGGGATGCCACGGAGAAACCGGGGAAGCCCCCGGAGGAAAACTCCGTGATGCCTAGACCACGGCCTTGCCCAACACAAGTTATAAATTTGAGCACCACCGGGAATTGAACCCGGAACCCCAGGCTTACAAGGCTAGTGTTCTGACCACTAGACCACCGTGGCGTACAGAATACCCAGAACCATTTAGCAGTTGACAATTAATTAGCTAATTAAGAAATGTTTTATGGAACCTGTTCGTATAATGATCACAAAAGCTCGCCGATCAACCCCGACGTGATCCAGTTCAGTACCTAAATGTAAAATCCATTAAATAATATTCTTCAATTTCTACACAGGACTCAAAAGTGATCTTTATGCATAACTTTCAGAAAAATGTTGTAGCTATTTATTGTTTCTTCCACACTTGCACAAACACAAATAATAAAATTCTCTCTCTCACACAACCACACTTTTGTTTACCTCGTATCTGGGTTCTAAGGCTTCATTGACCGCTGGATCAAATCCTATTTCTACCTTGCAATGTTCAATTTGTACAAAACCTTGAATAATTGGCACTATCCAAGGGTCTGCCAGAGGAGACTGGAAAGAAAACATAAATGAACCTTTTATTTAATTACAAAAACAATATAACTAGCAAAGTATTATTATATAAAAACAGCTTAATCAATAAACTTATACAAAAAAATTACATTCAATGATATTATATCCTGCAGCATGTGTTTGTTCCAGAAAAATCTGTCATCCACAGTTCTCCAGAGTCCTCTGTTCTTTAGAAATTCTTTATTCTTTTCTCTCAGATTACACTGTCGCTGAAGAGAGTTTGTAAGGTCACCATCTAAAGAGTAATAGAAAGAGTCCGTTTCTGTGAAAATTCGTTGCAGCTCTTCCAGTATTCGGCGTTCAAATTTTTCACGTTCTTTGCTATCTCGTCGTTTTCCTAATTTCACCTGAAACATTTTCATTGACATTTTTAGAACCAATATCAAATGTATTCTGTATTTTGCGTAACATTGTACTCAGATACAACCCATTATACTAAAGAGTACGAAAAGCATCAAAGTATAACGCAGAGTATAAAAGTTTTACATTTCTTTCTGCTATAAATGTTCAGCATGACAGAACAGCCATCAGCTACCTCCATAAATTTAAAAAAATAAAATAATAAAATAAATAATCACACAGATTTACGATCAAGTATCATTCCGATCTTCAAAATCTTGCTCTCATTGCATTCATTTGTGGTGGGCAACATAGAAAAATTTCAAACTCATATATCCACTAAGTACAAGACACAGATATAACCTTCATGTACAAGAGACGAAACTCATTAAATATCCAAAGTAGTTTACTAATGGAATTAAGCTATTCAATAATTTTCACCCCACTACAAGAAGTCTGAATCACCATATAAATAAGTTTAAGCCAGCACTAAAAGAGTATCCCCTGTCTCACTCCTACTCTATAGAAGAATTAACCTCAACCAAAAATTGTTGCCATTTATAGATGGTGGTAAGGGTTTCTTATGCAATTATTTTTGCAGTAATACTGTAGTTGACTGTAAATTACTGTCATAACTATGTAATCTGTATTCATATTAAAGACTACTATTGTATTCATGCTATGACTTTTTCTGCATCCTTGGTTTAGGCCTATGAAGGATCTAGGGAATGTTAATAAAATAAATTATATTCTATTGTACACAAAAACGAGCCGATCTGCCTAGTGAAATAAAGAATGCATACCAGTCATGTAAAACAGATAACAAACCTGAACAAGCCAAGTCCAGAATGCCTGAAACATTCTAGGAATAACTACAAACTAAATCAGGATATCAAATTACACAATAAAATATGTTTGAAGATAAAAGTTAAGTGTGCCTAACACCTTGTATCTGTTGAGTACTGCTTACACAGAAAGTTTACCTGAGACGTTGCTAATGCTGCTGCTTGCTGAGTAGTATTTTTTATTGTGTTAGTAGCTGACTTAATGGTACCCCAAGTCTTAGCAAATGCAGCCTTTTGGTGTATATCAAAAATACCACCACCGGAGGTCCCTGCCTTTTTATTGTTCTGATGTTTTCTGCATGGTTTAAGACCCAAGTCTGTAGAATCTCCTGCTGGTCCAAGTTGCAGAAATGTAACCGATTTTATCTTATAAACAGTTTTACCGCCTGGTAAGTCTCCAACTGAGGCACTTTCCTTTATGAGCATCAAACGGCAGTCTACAACGGACTGCAGTTCAATTTTACCAACAATACCACACAAGACACCTAGACATTCTGGATCAACAGCTGATGCCAAGTCCCAAGCTAAAAAAATCAGAAAAACATCAACACATTCGAAAAATATTAAAAATTTAACACGAGATTGCTTTTTCTGCGTCAACTGTTAGTATCAGATTTGTCATGCAATGATACATATAAATAGTGGGAGTGGTTCAAACCTGATGTTACCTGGTTTAGCTTCAAATTCACCCGTTGTCCGATCCAACCACAAACCATATTCACCGTTTACAAATATGTAATACTGATCTGTTCGGAATAACTCCATTTTTGGGATATTCTTTCCCTGAAATGACATAATGACTCTGAAAACCAACACAGAAACACGAAAACGTCAATCAATCTACCGCCATTTTGTTTGTCTGTGGGGTGTGAATGAAATCTTTGTCAATATCACGGATCACATATGACAATATATTCAGCTCTAATCCATGCTATATTCCACTCGAAACAAAATACAGTTGTAGCGTACGTGAACTCGGCCACAAAAATGTTAGTAATGTTAGTTCGAATATGGCTACTGAATTCAATATCAGCTGATTGCAAATTCCGCAATCCAAATATTGCACAACATTGTACATATTAACTCCTCCCACAAAGAAAAAAGTAATTGAAATGATCTGGACTCTAGTAATGGAGCTGTAGTCCAATATGCTTTCACCACTAGACACCAATCTCTGCAAGCAATTAGGAAAGCATGTGGAAACTCTTACACACACTGGGCAGAAAATATTGGACAAAAATACACTGAAGAAGTTAAAGAATATTTGCAAGTATGCATGGCTTTATTGTTTCATGGTCATCATACCTATTGTCTCAGTATTAATTAGTAATTACCATTTTTTTCTTTTGCAGGATATCTGATGGCTATGTGGAACATGTTTACCATTTACTTATTTATCAACTTGAGAAAGCACATGCTGAGATACGATTCAGTGCATTTCAAGTTTGCAACGAGCTCTTTAGGTAAAGCAAAGTGTGTTCTAGTTGTAGGTTACTGTTCAATGTGTCTTGTCATATCAGAGGTAACACATACTGTTAAAGTGAGAGTTGAGGTTTTGACAGTAGTACAAGTTGATTCACATATGTTACTTCCCTTACACTGCTTAACCAGATTTCTCCCTTGCATAGGTGATATTTAATGAGCATTGCTAGGTCATGAAAGGAAAAATTCTTCCAGCTGAATATTCTATACTTTTGGCTGCAGAATTGTCATACTTGCAGTTTCTGTACATATAATCAATCCTGCTACAAAAAAGTTAAAATCATAGTAGAAGGATATGGAATGAAGATTGGATATAAAAAGGCTAGTGTAACCATTCATTATACTGCATAACATCATATGTTTGCGGGTACTAGACACTAACTGTAATTAACGAAGATATTTATTACTGAGTGGCATTTGGTGACGTCATGTTAATTCGATAAAAGGTATGTTGGTGATGAAGAGAGATGGCTGTATCAAATACATACTTCTTGCAAGTTATGTTATTCTTTATACCCCACAGTTCTGATTTAACTAGCAGATGAAATTAATGTATTTCAGGAAGTCGCACTGTTTTCGAGAGCTGCTGGTTTCTAACATGCAGCACGTGATGGAATTGACATGTGAAACTTCCTCTGATCGACCACTTCCTCTGCCTAGATCTGTTGCTCTAAGTCTTAAATATATGGCACTGCAGTGCATAAAAGAGTGGAATACGGAGTATGGCGATGGATATAAGAAACTACAGCTTGGGTATAATTTCCTTAAACACTGCAAGAAGGTATCGTAGTTCAGAACAATGTGTACATGGTCTTTCACTTCTTCATTGCTTCGATTTACAGCTTCTGTGAGAAAACCTGACCACAGTTCATGTTTATACTACTGTTTAAACGTCAGCATTTAATTACTTATAATGGTAAAGATGTTACCATTAATTGTTCCAGGTGGATTTTAATGCATTACAAATTGAAAATTCAATGGAACAAATGAGGCAGCAGGAGCACGAAAGAAGACAAAATCTGATAAATCAGGAAAAGCTGAAAAAAGTAACAGCAGAAATAAATGGTTTGTGTTCTATTTCTTAGTGCACATGTATGAAGTAATTAAATGTAAGCATGTCCCACAAAAAGTACAGCCAGAAAATCATGACTTTTGCAGTCAAAATCTTCTAGGTCCAAAAACCTATTTAGGGTAAAATAGGACTTGAAGTTTTACACAACCCAAATACCAAGAGTGAGATGAAATGCCTGTATTAACAGCAAGAGGTAAAATAATGTTAATACAAGCCCACTGTCCTGAGCCAGTTCAGTCCATTTCACATTGCCAATTCTTTTTAGTTATTTGAAGTCCATTTTCCTTGGGACTTTTTTTTCTACTTTGAGTAAAAACTGTTCCACAAACATACAGAACATGTACGTAACTGTCAGATAATGGACATTAGTACTGTGTGCACAGAAAAATCTGAAAATCATAAGTTAATGGCTCTACATTTTTCCTTTGTTGATTAGATATGCTACCTGAAATAACAAACACACTTACAGCAATTGAGAACTGCATTTGTCTGCTCTTTCCAACACCCGAAGATTTCTTTATTCAAGACAGAAATGAAGATGAAATTGTATCCACAAGCTCTGATAAAAAACTTGGCCCCACAAAATGTCTTATTACAAAAGAAACTGAAGATGTTAAGAACAATGAAGAATATGGTTTGGATCAGAAAGACAGATTAAATATGAATGATAGAAAACTTGAACAGAATAGAAATACTGTAAATAAAGGAACTGATATGCCATCCACAAGTAGACCACGAGATGATAATACGGAGGAAGAAAATTCAGACTTCGGAAGTGAGACATCAGAGTCTGAGGAAGACATTGATTTTCGAGAACATGGAATGCTTAACTCAAAATACAGCATTGAAGTGAATGTAAATACAGGTATTTTCCACTAAATTTAATATAATTGTATTTATAAATAAATCTGATAACTGGTATCTTTTAAATTCACTGAGAATTTCTTCCTCACATCTGACAAAGTGAGAACTTTGTGAATGTAGAAAATGACAGGGCTCCACTGTAGCTTGGATTCATTTACCTCGCCAAATGGGTACAGGCCAAGAAGACACGGCCAGAGACGGTAGTAACAAACATAGGAACTGGTTATATTTTTTGGACATAAAGTGTTTTGTTTCTTGTTACAGATTCTGCATCAATTAAGGAGACAGCTGATAATGCTGCTATCTTTGAAAATGCACAAGATTTGTGTACACTTATCACCAACAGATTTATACCAACTGTTAAAAAGTGGATACAAGTTATCACCAAAGCATCAGGCAGGTGTACAGACTTAAGTTTATGTAATTCTATTTAACAGAGTATTCACCAGATATTTGTTGTTGGCAGTCGTCTTTATCTTTGGACCCACCGCCGTGAAAACCTCGTATCATACTGGTCCAAGATTTCTTTTCTGATAGTTATTAGTTTACGTTTTGCAAGAACTCAAAGTATATGATGGCATTTACATATCAGTACTTTCATCAAACTTTACTTAATTTTGATAAACGCTCTGTTTCAAAACAGTCATTTTGTTGATTTTGTACGTTTTCAGGAAGCTCAGATGAGCTGAAGAGGATTTTAGATCTAAAGAATTCACTTGAAAAAGCAACGAAGAAGTACGCGGAATTAAGACATCACATTGTAGCCAATGATGCAAGCAGTTCATCTGATTCAGATTTTGAAGAAGTTGAAGAGAAACATGGTTATGAGAAAACAGTAAATGAAAATGCTCCATTACCTGGTCCGTCGACAGGGACGGTGTTTGGGACAAAGAAATTTGACAAAAAAGCAAGAAACCAATCCAATTGGATTATATGGTCAGAGGAAAACAGTGAAATGGTAGTACTTTGCTTTCTTATATTAGTAATACAAGGCATGTTATTTTTCATATCAAAAATATTTTCGTAAGGACATAATTAAGTGAAGTCCTAAACATGTAATAGAAAGATCACAGTTTAACTAATACAGTAAAGTCCTTTATGAGAAACTGATAATACTTCAGATGGTCAGTAAATTCCCTACCTTTGATGGAACTTGACGGTGCACTACTGTGTTCTGCTAGAACCTATCTTAAGCCACATGAATCCAGTCTGTAGCATATATATCTTTTAAGATCAATTTTAATATCTATGCCTTGGTCTCAAAAGTAGTCTCTTTTCTCCAGATATTGACTAAAATATATGCATTTCTAATCTTCTCCATGCATTCTACACCTCAATAATACTTCTGAACAATACAAAATATTAAGCTCCTCCTTATTTATTTATTTATTTACTCATGTAAACAGGATCCCACATCAGCTCAATCAACTTTGTCTGTCTTAAAATCAGCAAATCCAGCAATGGCAAAGCCTCCAAAAAAAGTAACTACTGACAGTATAGTAGCATCCCATTCCAAAAATGAGACAGCAACAAGAGAGTCTGCGCAGAATGTAAACGCTAATAGAAACGAACCAGTGCCTTCAACATCAAAAGATAATACAGAGTCCACCTCAGAAGAAGGCCGGAAAGCAAAGTTATTAGCTGTAGCTCCAAAACTTCCATATGATATTGATCTATATCACTGGGAGGATGAAAAAATTCAAGCTCCTACGATGGTTGCGTAAGTATCGCCTTCATGAACGGTCAGCATGGTGAGGTGAACATGACAGAGTAAGACGTGATATGGCCACAGAAATCATATAATTGAAATCCATTGAATTATAAAAAAAAAGTTGTCAGTGGAACCACCGTTCCGGAGAATCTGACGTAAATACGTCTCTGTAATGTAATGTAATGTAATAATTCTTATATAAGATAAGTAAACATTATTACCAGCACAAAATTATCTAGTGTACGACGCACTTCTTCTACAAGCGATTCACAGCTCAGCTCTTTCCACAATAACGAAAGCGGTTTGTTGACGGCAGTAATGTAACACAACAACGCTGAGTAAACAGATGACGTAACAATTAGTTTCTTAGGTAACATAACAATGCACGCAGGAGTTCATATAAAAGCTGACCATTGTTGTCGGTCCATATTTACACACTGTTGATATGGATCTTTCACATTTTCGTTACACATCTTCGTTACACTTTTTTGCCGAATGACCCTTCCGTATAGACGTATTTACGTCAAAAAAATATAACTACTAGTCCCTTGTGTTAAAAATTTACAAAGTTGTACTGTATTATGTTTCTTAACCCTCTCCTAAATTCAGGAGAAAACGCCTATACAAAATGCTGTTCAAGGCCTTAGCCCTGAAAAGCATTCATATTTTTGTGGCTTTGAGTGGTATCTGTTGGAAAGTTATCTAAATTTTAGAAGTAATATTCCTTTCATATAGTGGCTTTAATTCCTGAGATGAACGTGAAATAATGTCAAATAATTATTTTGTTGGGAAATAATAATACGGTAAAATGTGGAGTTACAGTGCGACTGAAAAGGGTCAGGAAAGGATTAAATACATGGATGCCTTGTTTATACATGTTACTGAACTCCAAAGCAAATGGAATCTGTTCCAGAGTTAGGGCTGAAGGCTCCAGGTTCTGGCATTCTTCTTTAGAAGAGCTAGAAGAGGTACCAGTGCCTGATGGTATACCAAGTTTGAGGACCAGAGTAATTGAGTTTGCTGGTAAATTTGAACCAGTCCAGTGGACTTGCAGAGCACAACTACCCAGTGGAAAGCTTTGTCCACGTCGAGATCGATTTAAGGTATTTACTTACATTGTATAAAAACAGGAAATAATTTTACACACACAGCGAAGTATGGATAATATTTATGGTTACAAAATATAACAAATATCTACGTAGAGGGGGGGGGGTGGTAAATATAAAGTAGTCTCTGTGTTTATTACCATACCACAGAGACATTACAGGAGCGTAGAGATTAACGTTCACACGTTCGGTGAGTGGTCAAGTTTCATGGCCTTTTTTTCGTCTTGTCCGTTTCATGATATTTATAAGACAGTATCATACATTAGCATTCATGAATTGAAAATCTTGAGGTAATAACAGAGCAAATATGCTATACTTATAGTGATATGTACATATATTTCCTAATTTATTGTTATCAAATTTTGGAAGTTGCACTTAAAGATGATTTGCAAATTTTAAGGATTCGCTAGAAATACTCTTGTGATAAATTCTGCTTTCCTAAAAACTGAAAATTTCCCTGTATTTTATTTTCGTTTCAGTGCCCTTTCCATGGTCCAATAGTTGCAAGAGATGAAACTGGAAAGTGCACCAAACCAGAAGATGATGAAAGAATTGCAAAAGCAGAGGACGACAAAGCAAAAGAATGCCCAGACTGGCAAGACCCACAGCTGCTTGAAGATATTAAAGTAAAACACGACTCACTCAGACGCCTCATACACGCTTGTTAATATGTGTACCCTAAGTCTAAATATAATAAGCTATATGGAGCCCTTCTTCATAACCTGATAATTGCTCAGCTAGTCAAAAAATTCTCTGCTTTTCATGAAACCCAAAGGCTCAAGAAGATAGCATCAACAAAAACATAGTAGACTGTGATATTTTCCACAATGGAACATTTTGATAAATCTGCAAACAAATGATACACTGAACTTTTGATCATCAAATTAAAATTTAAAACACGGATGAATTATGATGAATAGGGATTTTTTTTCTTTCCAAATTCTTTCATATATGAGAAAGTTTCGTGCCTTTAAGAGGCAGGCTCAAATTCACTGACAAATGCTCCATCTTGTTTTGTTGTTTTTTTTCAGCAAGCCACTGGAGTAGATCTAAAAATGCCAGAGACAAGAAAAAGAAAAGGCAACAAGAAAAGAAAGCAGTCAGACAAAAATAAATACCCTGGACTCACCGACATAAATGCCAAACAAAACACGACATATACCAGACTCTCCAAGAAGATTTTTAAAAAGTAAATATTTATCAAGTTTACCTCAAGTTTTTATTCTTCCAATATCCATTTTCCATATGAATGTTTCAGGGATAACATGAAATTTACACTTTATGAAACGTCTGATGGAATTTAAGCAAGCAAGCCAGTAAGAACCCAATCAAAGATTCTGACTTTATCGGGTTATTTTCCTGTTGATTTCTTTTTCTAGGGGTGCAGTGAAACGAGTTTCCAGAGCAATGGATGCAGCAGATCACAAGCGGTTCCGGGATAAATATGGAGACCAATTTCATTATATGTATAACACTGTATAATGAAGGCAGAGCATAAATCTTAACTCATAAAATACGTAATACCTACTTCTTCTTGCTGATGCGTTTCCAGTTCACATAAGTCCGTTCCATGGTGTTTCTTGCACATGTATGTATAACTGAACAGAGAGTTGGATGTGTAAGGTCCCATTCCATGAAATTTATGTTTTCACTCTGCTTGTAGCATTTCAATCTTCACACAGATGTGGGTTCTTCATACACGCTAAGTTGTATCAAAAACGAAAGAGCCAAGAAATTAAAACCCAAGTTTCCAAGTAAAGAATCCTTCATAAAGTATTCAGAACTATGGACATCATTTTACCTTACAAAACAGAAGTAAAGCACTTTGATATAAAAATTAATTAAAAAAATTAAAAAAAATCAATGAATCTGAAAACATGGCAAAGTATTACAATTTTCATTAAATTAAAAAGAGATTAAATCTGTGAAAAACTTGTTATTTCTCATTTCAGAACCTTTTATCTTCTTGTATGCTGTCTAAAAACTTGAAGGTGGCAATATATAAAACTATAATTTTACAGTTTTTTATCAGCGTAGGACTTGGTCTCTAGTGGCTGGTAGTATTTTTATAAAATATTTTTATATATGCACATCATATGGAATAGTTTTTCATTAATTTACACCTTATCCACAGTAAAATTACATCAATGAAGAAATGCTGATGGTTGAACCCGCAAAGGAAGGGTAAAACTGGATGAAGTGCCTTAAACATCGGAATAAAGCCAGAGATTGAAATAAATAATTAGCAACTAGTACATTTCTATGACCCACATTGTAATCAGAGAACAATAGAATTATAAGTCTGTCAACAAATATTCTCACGATGACCACGGGTCTTCTTTTGGTAGCGTATCTTCTCAATATCTACAGAAGGGAACTGCTCCTTCACAGCTTCAAAATCTAGGTTAGGGAATCTCTTCATGAGTCCAATCACGTGGTTGCGTTCCCGGCTGCAAAAGCAATTAAGCATCAATTTACTGTCTGTAATTCTAAAGGTTTGTAACGATAGTTTAGTACTTTCTGTCAACAGTGCCCACATCTAATGGAGTACACGTACGTTCAAACTGCATTCTTCATGCTACTATAATAAACATAATTTTCTTGAAAGGGCAATCACATTGCAGATACCATGATGCATATAGTTTGCTATAAAAACAATGTATCAAATAATATTTTTAGATTTTAATGAAATTCGTAATTTATGTCATGTACAAATTCTTGTATAATGAGCAACTTTTGAAAAAGAACATGTATAAATCCAATCCGAGCATCATGTAATGTAAATACAAACAAAACTTAAATTGTCTTCATAACTGTTAGTACAGACCCAAAATACCAAATTTTATGAAAATCTGTTCAACAGTTTCAGAGATTCAGATCTAAAGGGTTCTGACGATGGTAGATTACACTTAAAATTATTCGCTATATGGAATTTTTCCATCGTCCTTGTTCAAAAAAAAAATAGAGCTAGTCTCCATCACTGGACGGACCCAACTGAGTAGGTACCTCTCACCTGAAGACGGAAACAGAGCCAGTTTCTAAAATGTCGTGGTTTCTTCTTTTAAACGATGATGATGGAAAAAGTCCAGATAGTGAATAATTTTAAGTTTCATAGATACACAGATGGACACAACTGTACAAGTATGCACAATGTTACTTTTACTTCAGTAAATTGAACAATGTCTGAACAAAAAACTATAGCAGCTTCTTCTTTGAATCATTTGATAACTCCAGATTCACTTTACATTCATAAAATCTATTAATATAATTCTATGACCACTTACTTCTGTTAAAACCCAATAAAACCTTCACATCAACTCCTGCATACAAGTCAATTTTCTTACTCAGCATTTTTTCACAACACAAAGAAGATACTTACTTTCGAGCTTTTCTCTTTTCAAGAAACTTTTTTTCTCTGTAGAGCGTAATAAAATTCTTGACATCACGAGTATGCGCATATGACTTATGACGCTGTTGCCATTCCTTATTCATGAATTGAGGTATGATGTGCTCTGCCATTCGGTGATTGTACCTCAAACCTATGAGTGTAACAGGAGAAAGAAATCAGATTGCTTTTCTGTGAGCTAAGTTTTACCAATATTGTCTAAACTGGGTCAAAATTGTAGTCGTGTAAATTAACCCTTTCACTGTTATACACGAAACAGTGCTACCATCAAGAAAAACACAAGGATATGTTCCATAAAATATGTAGTGACTGTTCTGAAGCATATAAAACAAAAGTGTTATTACAAACCGAGTTTTATGGCAAAAAAACATTCATATGGGTACGTAAGGATTAATGATTCTTAGGACATTTTAAAAATTGTTTCAACTGAAGATGTTACCAGTGCATAGCGTCAAATGAGAAGTAAAAATATGAATGATGAAAATATAAGGATTTCAAAGAAGAGTGTGTGTGTTTCTCTCTCCTTCTCCCTCTCCGCATTCTGATACAGGTTGAACACAATAAACTAATTATTATAATGATCATGCGTATATAAAAAATTTAATTAAACAGAAGACTCATTTTATGTTAAATGGCACATAAACAGGTTATACTTGTTACTAGAGACCATGCATGATGTTTAAAAACAAATATCACAACAAATGTTTGTTTAAAAAATAACTGCTTTGTTATATGAAACATTTAATGATTTTCTTACCTAAAGAGCCCGTTCTTACACAGACAGGTCGTTCTCCAGTTTGTCCTGTTTCTAACTTAAAGTATGCTTCATTCCTCTCTCGGACAACATCTTCCAAATTCTTCATGCTTTCCTCCACCTTGGAAGAAATAAACATCAGCACCAAGAATCAATAAGAGGGAATCAAAAAATGTTAACTACTAAAAAGTAAAGATAAGGTTAACCTTACAACTATATATACCATTACATATATTTATTTTTCCAGTCTATACACAAAACTTGTTTTAAAATAATGTTGTTAAAATTATTTATAATTCTTCATGCTTTCCTCCACCTAGGAAGAAATAAACATCAGCACCAAGAATCAATAAGAGGGAATCAAAAAATGTTAACTACTAAAAAGTAAAGATAAGGTTATCCTTACAAATATATGTACCATATCATGAAGGGAGTAACTAATGACTAGTAGCTTCACGATTTGTACTCTTCACCAACTATCATTGAGTTGATCATATCAGATCACAGTAACTTAATTAAAAGTACTTACTTTATCTATTCTCTCAGGATTAGGGAACAACTGTATTTGTTCTTTGCTTTCATGTTCCATTGTGAGCAGCATATTCTTTTCCTTTAGCAGTACAAACCTTAAAAATATAAACATAAGTTGTAAAGTGACGGTCAGAGTAATACTACTGCCTTCAGCACAAAACTGGTAAATTAAAACTACTTAGGAGCAGTAACCCATCACCGACTTTACAAAAACTATTCTAACATAGTTAATTCAACTAGTTATCATATTGTGAATAGACACTTCTTTCAACAGGTATTAAAACCACCTACCACAGTTTATGCAAGTCTGAATTACTTTTGATTCGCAGTTCATCCTTTTTCCATGATCTACCCACTTTAACTTCATTCTTCGCCCAATTATTTTTGTCATCAAAAAACTCCATTAAATCTTGTTTCACTGAAGTAGCATGGAAACATGAGCATGGACATACCACAGAACTGGTTCTGTAACAAAAAACACACAATTTTATCACATTCAACAACTGCAAGAATAAAAATAGTTTTGTGATCTAACTAGTGGCTATTACAGTATTCAAGTCAGATCAATATGTAAATTAGGCTGCTGATTCTTCAACTATCACACCCACTGAAAGCATGCTATTACTTGACAGTAGACATAGTGACATGAGCATCTAACTTAATTGGAAGATGCATCTTAGTACCCTAATTCTCTTGCTACTGACTTCAATGACTCTGCCATGCAAAAACTCCTCAAATTCAAAATTCCTCATCCTTCCTCTGATGCTTAGGTCATGTCACTGAATCTGCCCAAGTATGAGGCTCAGCGATATTCATAACAAACCAGTGTTTTGCAGGGCAGGGTTATCAGTCCACCGCCCTAGAGGATAATCATCTGTTGGTTGCCTGCAACTGCTTATTGATCAAACCGTTTGCAATCAGAGGAGAAGCCAAGCTGTAGTAACTTAACATGGCTAATTTGGAGCACAGGACAATAAATAAAAAAACTGTATACTAGTAATGTTACGATTTTCCAACTTTCAAAATTAAACCAACCAAAATTGCAGACCTATGGGAAATCCATTGCTCTACATCCAAGCCAAAAATAAAATGACCATACCTGGGAACACATTTTGTTTTAGAAATGTTCATCACTGACAAAGACGAAAAGCTTTTAAACATACTATTTAATGTCTTTGAAATACTAATTAACCCTGCCATTTCTGTTAATTCAAACAGACAGTCACAATGAACACGATCACTACAACCAAAAGCGAACAACCATATGAAACATACTTCCTCACGCCATTACCTTTTTACGAACCATATGACCACGGATCATGTATACAGGCCATATGGAGTGATGCACATAACCTCAAAATAAATCAGCTACAACTCTGTGACCAAAGGTAAAAAACTTCGATAAAACCAATGCTGTCTTATACCCGTAGCGCTGAAAGCAAGACACGTAGCAAATTTTATTTTCGTCTCCGAATTTGAAATCGGACTTCGGTAACTGTAAGGGAAAAAAATTCGTTTGCCTTTTTCATTCTTTCTTTGCTTTTGACAGGATAATGAATTTCTTCCAAAACATCAAAACTGTCAGATTGAATGGTTCATTATCATGATCACTCCACCCACCAGTTTTCCTGGATGTGGCCAAAACCGTCGACACAGTATGGGTCGAAGACCTCCTCTACAAGCTAACCATCCTCAACTTCCCATCCTACCTAGAAAAAAACATCTCATCCTATCTTGCCTGCCGAACATGCGGGCCGGCGTTGTTCAGGGTGAACGTCACGGATGACACGGCTCTCGTAGCCACATACTGTAGTCCAACGCTCCTTTTCTGGAGGCCTACCTTGGTAGACTGGAGCTCTGTCTCTGGGCCTGGAGGATTGCCATCAATGTCTAGAAGAGCATAGTGGTTCTCTTTGTTAAGGTCGCAAGACGCATCCAAAAGCCCAGATCAGTGCAATTTCTCAGACAGCTGATACAATGGGTCGAAACAGTTCGGTATCTTGGGGTCACCCTTGACACCAGGGTTACCTGGTTGGCGCACATCAACCAGGTGGGAAATCCCAGAGAATGAATGCTTCATCAACTGAACAAAATTTTGAAAGAATTCTGAAGAGAATCTGGTTTATAAAATACCTTATTCAGTGTGTTACTTTAATCACCATTATATTTTGATGTAATCATTAATTACAAACAATTTATATAGATGGCAGTCTTCTGGATTGTTATGCTGCGTAGCATTATATTTGTGTACCAGCATTTCAAAGGAACATACTACTTATGCCTTTGGGAATTCAGCATTTTGGTTTTGTACCAATATTTTTGAAGAACAGACTGCCTCAACCTTCAGTCCAAAGTCCTATGGGCAGTATATTCCTCCAAAATGTTGGAATTCAGTCAAATGCTATATGGTGCATCATCTTTCCTCAATTCACTATGAAAACCAGAAGTCTTACATCGAGAACAATTTTAAATTTTAAACATACAAAACCATGTCAAATATGAGGGGAAGCCAATACAACACTTGGCTTCATCTTATTGCACAAAATGTTGGTAGCAGCTACTCCTAACCCACTCACTAAAAAATTTATACCTCAAGATTTTCTGTATCCATATGCTTACATCTTGTCATTAATAATCTTCAGTCTCTTCATGTAATTTGTCTCCTGCAGTGTTGGGGGATAAGACCACAATGATTTCCTGTCAAATTGATATAAAACAACGTGTTTCAGTAGAAGTGTCATCTTTCTTCTGAAAGAAAAATTTCATTCCATCTCATTAGTCTACATCAGTGGTCCCCAACTCGGTGCCCACACAGAAACATAGAAAAACACTTCAACATTCCTCTTACCTTAACATCCCTGGCACATGCCATATCAAGAGCTGTGTTATGGTAAACATTGCATGGAACCAAGTCTGCTCCCGAGTCTACCAACAGCTTTACAATGTCCTTGCAACCTGACAAAACAGCCTGCATAAGGCATGTTTGTCCACGTCGATCCACGCAGTTTGGAGTTGCACCTCGTTCCAACAGTTTCTTAAGAATCTGAACTGAGCTCTCCAGTATCACTGGAAAAAATATAAGAGTGTGAGTTTCTTTACAAAATTGTTTCTCAAACTTAGATGAAACTTGGCATTGGTAGTCTATAATGAAATTTCTCATGGAGAATTCCTGGATAAGTCCTAGAATAGTACCAGAGAGGTACTGGAGAGGTTATGCGGAACTTCCTTGGTCTTGGAGAAGTGCTGGAGAAGTCCTGGAAGGTTATGTGGAAGTCCTTAAGCGGTGGTGGGTGTTATCCTACGCGGGTCGGTTGTTTTGGATTTGATTAAGTTTGATTGGGATAAGTTACATTACATTTAGTCTTCTCGCTTAACCCACAGGCTTAAATACTTGAAAGTGTAGGTGTTAAAGATAATTATTTTTCTCTCCGCTCTCACCAACCTCCTCTCATGAGTGGTGTCCACTGTTCGACATCCTTTGCTTCTATGTCTGCACCTTCATCCAGAGCCATCTCCACTGTCTCCATCTCTGATCCATCCACTGCATAATGCAGAGCAGTGCAACCATTCCTATGCCAATATAGCACACGGAAGGAATACATGAACAGAGTTTCCGCTACAAGTTGTGACAAATATTCAGCCATTCATAACCTGAATTTAAGTCTGTCTGACCTGTCACGAATATCCCAGTTAGCCCCACGCTCTATCAGCTGATGTGCAATTTTTGCGTCTCCCTTGAAGCATACAATCATGAGGGCTGTTCTGCCAACCCCTTTGCTGGTCAAATTCACATCGGCTCCAGCACTTAGCATCAGGTTCACCATCTCTGGGTCACCAAGAGATGCTGCCTGCATAAGTGGCGACATGCCCATCGAGTTGAAGACCTCCACAGAGCCATACCTATAATCATTATTGTTATAAATGGCGTAACTATAATAAAAAGTGTAAATTACAAGAAACACCACTGTTAATGACATTCTGATACGCAGTGACAAATTTGTTGGTCTTGCCAGAACGTCACCACCAGATAACTATAACTGAAGGAACATAAAATAAACATTTTACTACATAACAAGACGCACATCATCATCAAAATACCACAGCACCATGGAGAGTATTTTCTGACTTCTAGACCACGATTTGCCACTGCTGACATAATAGGAAAAAGAATTTTAATCCAGAAATGCGAAAAGAGAGAAATTGCGGTGTGGAAAGCGTCATGTAACAGCGATTTTATGGACACAGCTTAAAAAACAGAGATATACTCTTTACAATACCTATTTGTAAGATTCTTCTTTGCAATTTTTGGTTGGCCATACTGAATTGCCCTGAATAGGTTCACAATCGCCATCTGACCTTCTGAAAACAGTAAGCAAACATGTATGAAAATTACTATTTCGTTAGGTAGGTAGGCGTCGATGTGCACACTTTGGGCTGAATATGCAGCAATATGCCATCCATTACCAAAGTCGAGAATACGTGGAACTTCAACCTCATATCCTGCACGCAATGGTTCCAAGGAAACGCAAGACAAATTAATGAAAAATACTCTACTGTTCGCTGGAAGTATACAAGGTTTCATCAGCAGAAATAATATTTGTTACCTTTCGTTGCGGCAGCAATCTGCGGGCTCCAGGGGCCATCTCCTTCAGGGGTAGTGACCTTAAGTTTAAACTGATAACACTCCAGGGGGCCTAGTCCAGTTACTTCAAACTTCGTTTGAAAACCCCTTCAAAAAAGAAAGCACGAACTACATATTTTTTCAAAAAATATGTAGTTCGTGCAAAAATAAATCGTATTATTATTATTAAACTAAGTCCTTTTACTAGAAAGCCATTACCAAAATGGAATTTATTTAAAGAAACCTCCTCTTGGCATATTTCTAAGATGGCGTAAAATTTATATAGTTGAAACTTCAACTGCTGAAAGTTGGCAGAACAATTTTCTTTCATTAATATCCTCAATTAAATTCTGACCGGTAGATAAGATATCTCGCACTTAACATGAAAATGGTTAAAACTCTACGATGTGCTAACTTAAATCACAGGAATCTGAAATGAAGCATGAAAGAACTTCACACGTAGACAATAAAATAAATAAATGCTTAGAAATCAACACAAAGCAGATATTTCTCACATAAATTTGGCAGGCTTACTTAAAAGTCACGTACCGTATTAAATTTCTCCTAAAAAGAAATTTAACACAGCAAATTTGTAAGATCTTTTAAAAGTTCTTAAAATTTTGCTATCAATCAAGCCAAGGTAAAATCTTTGTCTAGGTAATTATTACCAAGTCTATGTTGCAAATCGACGGCGATCAAGGGTTCGATTTATGACAGAGGTAGGACACTTTCTTTATAAATGGAGATCATTTACCAGTAGACAGTGACCCATCCTTGTACCCTGTCCTTGATTTGTAGTGTGTACTGCAGCCGATAAATTTCATCCTGTTCTTCACACCGAGATGGTCCCTCAGTCTCATCCCATGACAACATTATAGAAGAGGGAGTCGAACTCAGGACACGGAGCCGAGGGGGGCAAATATTCATTGCACCTTGTGGTAGTAAAAATTAAATCAAAAAAGTGACAATAATAATATAGGTAAAATTTGAGGATTACCTTAATTATAAAGACTATAAGCACTCGTGAAAGGTCGGTCAACATCCCAGAAGACAGACATCTTTAATAATCGAGGTAACCTCTGGTCCAAGCGAAACAACAATTTTGAAGAGGTTAACAAAATACATTAATAAGGCAACTTTTTCAAGAAATTACTTGTATGGAAAAAACAAAAATTTATGGATAATCATAATTACCACATTTCACCATTGGGCCCAAATTTTAAACATTTCAAATACATTTCACATCCTCATAACTTATATCTCTGAGCTTCATTTTAATATTACCCTGCAATCTATGCATATCTCACGTAAAATATTAATAACGGAGTTCATGACGAGAGCAATAGTGGTGACTATGATGACGACAAACATTTAGCCTAAATTCCTTACAATATTCTGAGATTTCAAACGTTTCGAAAACTTGGCTTGCGTTTTACTAGTTACGTTCATACACACCTGGCAACGTTAGACCTCTGAAAACACAGATGTGAATATTAATAGTGTTTTTCCTGATACGTACCTTGACTTGTAATGAACTTGTCGCTCATCTTTGTCGTCATATGGTGTCTTGTTTGCAGACTGTCTCCATGGTTACCGAATTGTTCTCGCCCACACGTACAGACGTGGCCAGAAATATGGAATCAATTTTCATGTAAACTGTAATGTAATTACTGCTGTAATACACCGTCACTTTTTTGCACAATTTATATCAGTGTTTATTGTAATTACACTATTATAATGCACTGTTTCACTGGGGGGGGGGGGTCACTTATGAATGACGTTTCGACAAGCACATCTTCAGGTCACTTTTTCACTGTTTTGTTCATTCATGATACTTCACCGTTTAAAATACATAAAACATAAGATGAACTAGGCAACTACTTGAGATATTAATTTCTCACGGTGGAGATGATGTCAGTTGTCCTCTGGGCCGTGTAGGTGGGAACCTCTGGCAGATAATTTGGCCTTGTACTTCCCGAATACAAACCAAAGTTATCACGTTCGAGATAATTGGGATTCGATTCCTCCTACGACCGTGCTGATTATTCTCTCCACCACATTCTGAATGTCTATGACGTCCATTCATCCTGCATTCCAACGAGTGTTTCGATCTATTTCCTCAGGAGTAAAGACTGCATGTGCGTGAAACTGGTCAATACGACTCGATGGAGTTGGGCACAAAGCTGGTTTTATATTTATCTACTTTTCATCCAATTAAATTTATTTATTTTTCCTTCAAAGTCCGTTCTTTTTGGCAGTGAAGTCGAGGCCACTTCGAAGACCTAGGTGTATATGGGAGGATATTTAAAAATTGATTTTAAAGAAATAATGTTTACAAGTAAGTCGTAATTTATCTATTGTATATAATGGGTGGATTTATTTGTAACTTATCTCTACTTCATGTGAACCCTTTGTTTGTATTTTGTGACATTTATATAATAGTATGACTTGTATTTGTATAACATGTATTGTATTATTATGACTTATTCTACATCCTATTGTCATCTGACTAACTTATGGATCCATGGAATGTAATAAAGATTTTTGTAGTGTAAGAGGCTGTAGACTGGATTAATTTATTTCAATACAGCAATACAACAACCGGCAGAGGGCTGTTGTAAAAACGGTACGTAATCCCCTTAAAGGGACGTTCCTACATTACAAAGCAGTTAATAATGACATTATTTGCAAATAATAATGTCTGTGGTTTCGTATCGGTTGATATGAAATTGTTAAACATAATACATGCTTGAAATTTGGAAAGTCGTACGTGAGATATCGTTTATACAAGAATTTACTTCCGTAAGGTTGGCTACATAAAGAAATAGGACGCCACCTTCTTGTTTCGGACAGAGTTTGGCTGCCTGGTAGCGGTCAACGGAACCGCTGCACAAGGAGAAACAGTGGGCGTCGGTAATTATACTGAAGAAATTAGCATACTGCAGAAGCATTAGCATTTGAGGTTCTCACGGCGAACAATATGTCAAGTTCTTCTGGCTTGTGACACCGTGTTGATTTGCGGGTCGGTTAATACAGTCATTAATCCAGATTTTAACTTAATTATATGGATCAAGATTTGGATCTACATTTTTATACTGATGGATTGCACACAATAAGCACATTAACGTCCTTTTCATTGTAGTCTGTAGCTGACCTATAACAGAACATGCAAACGAAGACAGTCGAGAAACTGAAGGTGGCTGACTTCTGGATTGCAGCGCTAGTTTGGTAGAAGGTAAACTTCTGCCAGATTACACGGCACAATAACCTCGAAGGCAGCTATCTTCGTACTCGCCGCCGAGATAATCTAAAATCTTACGAAAAAATGAAGCTATGATTTTTAATAAAGTGTTATGCCTGTCAAACTGCCGAATATTATTAGTATGAAATACTTATTAAGAATCCCTTAATCATATAACATTCTTCGGTCCATTACTACAGTATATCTCTTAGGTTCTAGAGCGCTTCCGAATATTGAAAAAATTATAGACTGTCTCCGTTTAGTTAATCGAGCACATTCTTGCAGTTTTAAGCGGAACGAGTTTCGTCAGTATAATCTTGATACGTCTCGCTCCACGTCTTTCAGTATCGTAAAGCACAACGGTACCAGTCCGAGATTCTGTGCCCAGGTGAACAGCTGGAACATCAAGAAGACAAGAAGAAATGCATTTTTTCAATTATTCCTATCAAACATGATATTTCGAAATCGGACATTATTCAATGTGTTGACTGTATTGATATTAGGTAAGGATTTTCACTGCATGGCGTGGATTCGGTAAGTTGTGTGAATGTGTCCTCAGAAACACCGGATAAGTTTGCTCCTGTTCTAGTTTTGTCGTGGTGTCAACAAAAACTTTAGGATATGCCAAGCGTGTGAAGAAATTCCTGTTCAATTATACGAATGTTCAACAATACATCAAGATATTTTGGAAAACTGTTCCTTATTCCGAAACATCCAATGTTGGAAGTTGTTTTTTATATACAATATGTCTGGAAAGTAAATATAAGATTAGTTACAGATGCTATAAACAAGAATGAAAGTGAAATATTCTTATGTTAGAGATACTAATTCTGACTGCTGGTTCAGAGACTTGAACGCTCAAACAGAACACGAAGTAGTTTTAAATTTAAGAACGCATGCTTGATGTTCGTTTGTTGAACTCGATCTACATACCTCTTTACAGACTAACGGTTTCAACTATGACGAATGTGATGACATACAATGACTGTAAATGCTAAAATGACGTCATATATATATATTTTCTTTTGTGACGTTATGGCGTCAAGCTGAAATTGCAAACAGATTAAGTGAGGCAGTGGACCCAACAATTCAGCATCAAATATATGATAATAAAGTAACTAATACGGTAGTAAACTAAAGAAACCACTTCCATAAGTTTTGGGGCAAACTGGAATCTGTGATCGGAGTGTGAACATATGATCTGAAGAAACGTCTTATCGTTCTTTAGAAAAAAAATTGAAGTACAATGGTAACTACATGTACCACCTCATTTTACTTTAAATAACTGCATTGCACCCACAGTGTATTTATGAGATTCATGATTGTCCAAATATACAGAAAGTATTTACCTAAACCGTGTTAACCAATTACTCTTTCTAATGGAAGACACATTATATTTCTTTGAAGTAAAAACTGAATTTTTAAATATTATTTAAATTCCTCAAATTTTTAAGCACAGGAACGATTTTAATTTTACAATATTTAATTTCATAAATTGTATGATTCATCGTGTGGCCTAAAACATAGAACTAAAGAGACAGAAGTCAACTCTTTTGTTTGGCCCAATAACAAGACACAGTGACTCACACCCTGTGTAAAGCTGTTGTTTCGTCTCAGCAGTGAGCCATGCCGAGTGTGAGGAAAAGGAAGCGTACAAGGGGAAATATCTTGGCAAGATTAATTCCTATCACCACCAGGTGTCAGGCGATATCTATGCTGCTGCTCACCAGTTTCAATTACGATGGGAATGGAGCTGATACATTCTTCTGGTCTGGTGCTGCCAACCGTCCTGGACCGCAAGGCTTCATAGTTCCTGATGAATATGGCAAGTAAGTGGCATAAACCTCATCTCCATGTAGTGCCAAGGTTATGAATGCATGGAGCTACATGTCCACTCTTCTATGGCAAGGTACTTAATTACATTACTTACATTTCTTTAAGAAAATGGTTTCTGTGTCACAGGACAAATGTATTGGACCGTTACTTTAACAAAGACTTCACTCTCACATTGCCTGATAAGAAGAAGATCACAGAGATCAAGTGGCTAGCTGTGTATGACCTCGCCAGTCAGAACACATTTGGAGATGTCTACATACCAGAAGAGTTTGAGCCACCCACAGCTCAGCAGATCTCACGGCTTACCGGTCGTTCTCACAATGTGGACTCTGAAAACATTGAGATAATTGATGCAAAGACAATAAAGATATCACAGTTCACGTATAATGGCGAAGGGAAAGGTAAGGCAAATCTACCGTTTATTTATTAGGTCTGTGGACTTACCAATACCGACAGATTAACTCCTTGGAACGAGATCTTCCTTCAGATATCGAGAGTTATTCAGATGATAAAGAAATTCCCACATATGCTATATGATCTGTCCATTCTTCATTTAGACATCCAAACAAGTTGAGTGGTTGGCACTCCTGCTTTATGTTTGGGAGGTTTCGGGTACAAACTTATTCTCTTCCTAAAATTAAGAGACCATATTTCAAAATAATATGAAATACCTGTACATCTTTTTCTTCTGCAGACACGTACTTCTGGGTCGGACTGGGACCCCAGCCATCGTCTAAAGGCATCAAAGTCCCAGATGAATATGGATAGTAAGTGTTTTGTTTTAGTGTAGTTCCCATTAAGGAATATAAATTTTCTCTAAAAGAACTTAAAAAGTGGTGAAAAAACACGGATTTTCACTCACCAGAAACGCACTTGACTTGTATTTCGGAGGCAGAAGGCGGAGACAACGGATTTTTACTAAAATACTGGTAGCATCGTAAATCAGAAGAAAAACAATTCAAATTTTCACTGTCATGAAAACTACAAATCTTACAAGACACAAGTTTAAAAAAGCTCTTGTTCGACACCTGCAGGTATTACACGAACGAAACATCGCATCACATGATCAAATGTTTCTCTGTGCCCTCAGCCTGGATCCTCTGAGAACGTACAGCAAGGAAGACATCATACTGCAGCTTCCAGGAGAATGGACCATCTTTGAAATTGACTGGTTCAGCATATTTGATGTAGAGAGCAAAGAGAATTACGGATCTTTTATCATCCCAGACAGTTTGAACGTGCCACCATCGCTTATCAAAGTTGTGGTTCGTATAATAACAATACAATGAGCTTGAATAAAAAAAAATAAATTAAAGTGAGAAAAATCAATAAGAGATTTGGAAGAAACAAAAGTGACTTGGGTGTGAAGGTCCTAATATTTCTATTACAGCCACACACAAGCACTCTACCGAACTGCTTCCAGCTACACAAAGACCTTCAAGTGAGTTGGGAGATATTTGGTCCTCAGATCACCATTCAACTTTCCGGCCAAGTTGGCGAGTACCACAAACATTATCTTAGGATATTATGAAATGACTCAAGAAACGCATGCAAAGTTTAACAATTCTGCTCCATCTTCATAGAATTTGACCTCTGACCTTTATAACCAAGGTTGGCCTGGAGATTCTCCACCCAGTCGCCTTCGCATGCAGAAAACATGTATCTTTACGCGAGGCAGTGCCACAGTTCGTTTTCCTCCGAGTCTTTCGGTTCTCTTCTGCCAGTATCATTCCGCTGATGCTCCATATTCATTCATGAATCATCTGGGGAATGGACAAAGGGCTCCAGTTCCATTAAGATACAGTCTCACCTCACTGAAACGATTACTATAAAAACAACAACGTCTTTATGCAAAGTACCTGTTAATATTGTCGAGTTTAAACCAAAATTGGAATGTCCTAACAAACTTTATTAATTCCTCAATATAAAATTTTACAAAAATTGATTCAGATGTTCTCAAGTTCTTTCATGCATAAACATAGTAGCAGCGACTTTAATAGACACTCCTCAGGGACGTGAACGCACCTAAAGATGGTGTGTGAGAGAAGTAAATCTTAGCACAACAGAATACATTACCGTTCTTTCTGCGCTTTCACTGCAGATGAAGATGGGTACATGGCCTTCGGGTTGAGCGCTGCCGAGAACAGGAGCGAAATGATTGGTTCTGACGTTGCAGTTGCATACGTAGATGGTATCTTCGGTCACGCTACTGACTACAACATTACAGCGAAAGCTCCTGTAAGTTACTACGAAGCAAACTTAATATTAAGGAATGAAGTTCATTTAATATAAGAAAACAAATGTTATAAATAATAATATAGAAATACTTTAACAATAACAAAATAAGCCAGGAAGAATTAATAAAAATGTGCAACACACAGTATTTTTAAGTAACGAGTTATTTGTAAATGTGTCTGGATTTAAATTCTTAGGAAAATTAAGAGATAATTAAATACAAAGTATAAAATTAATTAAATAAGAAAGAAGCCCACAAATTCTTATACCCTATTTTATAAATATTCCTGTGCTACCTAATTTGAAGTTTCTACCCACTACGATACGTGTAACAAAAAGTGAAATTAATTTCATCTAAAATTTGACCGTAACATATAAATTAGTATATAGATTTTCTGTGTGAGAGGCGTTCAAATCAATTTATTATGACTAGCGGTATTCTGTTCTGTTTATTTCCTGCAGTGTGTCAAAGTGTTGGGTCAGTACAAAGGTGTCTGTAAGGACGAGTTGGTTGGAGGTATCGATAACAACCAGCTGCACTCCGCCGTGCGAGAAAATGGCATTAACATCATCACATATCGACGCACACTCATATCATGTAAGGATAAAGAATACTTGGTATTAAGTGTCCGACCATCTGGAATCAGATTGAAGTAGCGTAATCCATTTGTAAAAGTGAAGAACAAAAATCAATATAACATGAAATTAATGTACCTCTGGACAATTAGCTCTGCAGTAAATAAACATCAAGATCAATGAGATACTAGCAAGTAATGATTTTGGAAAATATATGTATTCCACTGGAATACACATTCCACAAGTTTTAAATTATGATCAGTGCCCATGAAAATATGTCAATACAAGTCAAACACAGACATATTGAAAATTTTATACCCAATAAAATGTAAATAGATCAAGACTTGACATATTGTGAATTTACACTTCTCCGTTGATTATAATTTATCAGAACCCCATTGGTGTTACAACCAAGTACTTGTATGTCTATAGCTGATCCTGGAGATAAGGAATATCCTACAGAAATGCCATCTTATGTGGTGTGGGCCATCGGACGGTTGAACCACAATAAAGAACCCATGTTCCACGACATTTACCCAAAAGGAAACGTGAAACTTGAACTGAATAGGAAGGAGAAAGAAAGCAATTGCTTTGCTTTCACCCATACCCAGGAGAGTTACAGGTATTAGAGAGTAATGATTTCTTTATATATATATTGTCATATTTGTACATCTTCTGACTTGACCTAAACTGAGGTGCTGCTGATACTGTACTGAAATACTACATTCATCTGATCCTTGATTTGTTCTAGGGAACCCTGGGGCAAGAGTCAAATTTTTGACCGAAAAATCCGAACATTCACAGCCACTTTAGGGCCATCTGGAGGGAAAAGAGGATACCAAGGCATTACTGGTATGTTCCTCTGACGTAACAAGTACAGAGGTTAATTTACGTAAAAATATCATAAAATAATGTGATATTTATTAGCCTAGAGCAGGGGTTCTCACCCCTTTTTTTTGCTGACGTTCCACCAAATCTAATTTAACACATTAAATGTACCACTAAACAAATGCGTTCAGGGACAATTTATTTATGTTAATACTATCTTTTGATTTTTTTACTTAATTCGCGTACCATAGGTTGAGAAACGCTGGCCTAGAGGGATTAATAAAAACCAAACATACTGAAGATACAAGCTTAGTTAACTGCTGAAATAATTACTTCTTTCACATTCTGAAGTTCACGAAAGAGATGTGACTGGAGAAAATTATCATTTAAAGTAATTCCAAATGTTATAAATTCTTTATCTTTCCTGTTCAGTAGCATAAACAAGTCCCTTCAGAACATATTACATGAAGCATATTCAAGACACACAGGAACTAACACGTATAATTCATAGGAATGACCTCCGCTGTGCTGGCCTGGTACATCAATGGTTACCTGATCCCTGAGCTGTGGCTACGTAGAGGGTTGACATATGCCTTCAAAGTGTATGGGGGCAATAACCCCCATAGTGCTGAGACCTATCACCCCTTCATAATTACTGATGAGCCTCATGGAGGGTTCGACAGGCTCAGCGAAGAGGCCCAGAAAAAAGTAAGAGTCCTGGCAGGTGTAGAGTTCACAAGAAGGGGACAGCCACGTCCCACTGCGGGTAAGCAACTGAAAAACAATAAATATATCGTAATTATGAAGAGAATTTTGTGTGTGAATGGGTTAAATGACAATATGAAAACTATGGACCAAGTAGATTTATGTTCAAGAGGCTGACTAAAGTACCTTTTAATTGGAAAAACAAATTTTTCTATCAAAAATACATACAATACAATAAATACATTATATCCTTTGGTTCCCCAGAGCTTGTATTATGATTATTGTAAGTTTTGTGCAATTAGAAGGCAAATGATCAGAAAAAAAACAGCTATGCCACCATGAGCTGAACTGACCATCAGAAAACAGCCATCATTGGTACGAAATATGATAAAATATACCAAAAATTACTTTATTGGACTTTTACGGCTGTGAAACATGCTAACATACATTTAAGAACATGACATGTAGATGTTTGTCCCTTTTTCAGTGGGACCTCTGTGCATTGCACAGCACAATGGAAGAGACAGAAGACTGGATAATGATTTTCCAACATTCAAGAAGTTCAATCGCTCCCTGGTGTTCTCGTGTGATGAAGGTACAGTTTCAAGTTACTTCCATCATTTGCTTTAAGAGATATTGCGAAAGGGGGGAGGCCACGTCCTTCGCATTTCTCCTTAGTCCTATCAGACATTACCTTGAAATATGCCATAAGAACTTCCTTAAACTTCACAACAAATAATCTTCTTGACACCTAATATCCTCTGTAACTGATTCAGTGCTGATGAAACAGTATGGATAATTGGAAGTTGCTGATCTTTTTTCTTTCCCCAGGAGAGCCAGCCATCTTGGAGGTGACACCCAACACGACATGGCCGGATGTCGTCTATTATAACAGTTTCACGCATACCAATATGGGCTGGAAGATTCACATCGTGGACAGTTACACTAGCGCATCTCTCTCAGTCATTCAAATGTCTGCGTCAACTGTGATACTCATGTGTACTGCTACAATGTTTGCAGCATTGCAGCACTTGTTTTTGATACAATAAATATCTTGTTCTGTCTATCTGTGTTTTAAACGTTCATTGCACAAAGTGCAGAAACAGTTAATCTCTGTCCAACATAAATGCAGTATAATGAATCAGCCACTGCCACAATCCTTTAATCATCAACTGCATAAAAATACAAATAGTTTAATGGTGATACAGACATTCAGAATTTATTAAATCTCCAAGGACAAACTATAGCAATAATGGATTACAAGTGGGTGGTAAATTATCAAGTTATAAAGGACAGTAACCCTCATCTGCTTCTTTACTTCTAACTTGCATAGATTTCTTACAGGGCCACCAATAAAGTGTGCCAGAAACGACAGCACCGTCAGACCACAATCTGCATGCAAGATGGTGCAGAGGCAAAAGTCATCATTGTTTTAACCCTGCCAACCATTATTCCATCAATCATCCATATTCATCACAGCCTGTGAGGCATTAAACAGGCCTGATCAAGATGACCTTCAATCCAAATTTATTCAGGCTTTATCTCTGATCCATCATTTGGCCACTCTCTAAGTGTAGCTTATTTTTATTAAACAAAACATAATGTTATATATGTCTTGAAGGAACAAGATGGATATAAGATTGAAGTTACTGAAATAAAATGTATTTTAGTAAATACATTGCTACCTCTCCCTATAATGAAGCACCAATTTTTACACACATTATGTAAGATAACCTAATACACAATACAGAAGAAATACACTTAACTTATACAATGTATCCTGTGTGATGGCGTATTATTACATATAATTGAGAAACTAAGGCAGAAAGAAAGATTAAAAAAACACCACTTGGAAGAATAGTAGCTAATAGTTATATGATGCAAATGTTTACACAAAGAATAAATGTCTTCTCACACACACATATACCTGGCCTGTCTGGAAAGAATTTTAATATTTCTCTGTGTAGATATACATTTTATGAAACTGAAGCAGCATACAGTTTTTACGTGAGTATTAATTTGACTATAAACTACTGTTTTCTCTCATTTTGAACCTTCTTCAAAACATGGGCCATAACCACTCATTACTCACTCTTATTTCAGTGTTGCCAATAAAAAGTGGTCATTTTCCCCACATATCAATTTTGGTTAAAACTGCTCAAATAAATAAAGCTGTTGTTATGCTATAATACTGATAAGTTTCTAACTATATGAGAGCTACATGAACTCATAATGGTCTATCCTGTGTAGCTTCTTTTACATTTTCTTAAAATAAGATGGTATCACTATTTGCAAATACTTTACATGTTTTAATGCAGAGTAACAATGGTAGAAAGTATGAATATCCCAGTCTCACCCTAAAGCTCAACCCAATTCTCAGAAACAAGAAAGCTAACAAAACAGCACCACCAGTGAATGGAAACAAGATTAGCTACTTACCACTGGTTTTATTGTGGTTATAGCATGATGCTGACACAGAGGTAAGCTTACCGAGACCTTACTCACTGACCACATTCACAATGACAAGATCACAGTTGCAATTCTTAAATAAGAATCTGAAGATGCTGGTCTTTGCAGCATTTTCTTACTGTATACTAAATAATCATTTGGCTTCGCATTATGTCTCTTCAGTTGATGAGCCTGAAGAACTCCTATAAGATTCTTATGCTATTACTTACTCTCTTGACATCATTAATTATTTAATTTATTGCCTGGAGACAAAATGTCACTGAACAAAATGGGCTATGAACACTGGGCCTTCAAAACTGTGTGGTAGATATTCCTCAGTGCAAAGTTTGACTGTCCTCCATACATGCATGCACAAACAATAGGATTTGAAAGATGCTGGGTTTTATCCTGTGAGACTTTCATTCCAGTACACAAGGGCAAAGAACACCAAAACTGACACAAAGGGCAACATTATGGGAGTCAAACACAACAAATGATCTCAAAAAGGCACTAAAGATAAAAATGACCTCAATAAATACCTTCCTTCCTGAGAGTAAATCTACTGTGACAGTGTTAAACGTGGTGAAGCTTTTTAGAAACAGTTCAGATCAATGTATTCTAACCTCACATTTCTGTAGTTTACAAAATGCTGATATTTAAAGCACTGGGATAAGTGTTTTGGGAAAGTAAGTTACAGTTTAACATCAATCTGAAGTCTCCATTTATCCCACAAATCTGAGCTTACTGAGATCCTGTTACTTTCAGATAACCTTCACTTGTTAACCTAAAAACTATGTATTTTAGTCATCTAGAAATTTTAATAAAATATGTTATCAATTTAAAGAAAATTTAAAAGAAGGAATATTCAAAGACCCATAAAAATATAGATTGACCAGAGGAACTTTTAATTTTGCTTAAAACTTGAAGCTGATGATTTAAAAACACTAATTTTAATTGCCCAATGCTTGCCCATACATAAACTGTACTAACAGCTGTTAAAGTAATCTACAGGCTGACCAACAATCAAGATAAAAATCCCTAGGACATTAGGCTGTCACCACCACCACCATACCCAGACAAGCTTTAGGGTCTGTCCACAACAGACAATGCTGCTTGCCTCCATCCAGTGACAAAATCTCAAATGCAGGGAGTGTTGCCTCAACACCTCTTCTGTCTCTTCGCAGTGCTACGGCACAACTGTACCACTGAACAGAAATGTACACACCTAGACACGTTAGAACCATGTACAGTCTAAATCATACGCATCTAGTTTGGTAAATTTACATTGCTTCCTCAAAATACACAGAACAGTATGATACAATAAAACAAAATTGCCATCTTCATTATCAACTTATCACTGGATTTACAGTTTACTAGTCTGTACTGATTATTTGTAACTAGTAACACAATAAGTACAATTAAAAGCACAAAATGATATATACAAACTAACTTAAATGTGGTTATGACATTTCATCCACTACAATCATAATGGTCATATCACTGTTTACTCATGTTACCACTAATGTTGGAGACACTGAAACCAATAATAATATCTCTTGCTATGGTGCGATAAGCATTACATCAACGTCGGCACCCTCCATTACTGGACTTCTTAATGGCTCTAACTGTACAGATACTCCTTGTTACAGGTGAGTTCAAGAAATGTGATTTCATTTCAATGCACCAATGTAACTTGGATGGGCGTCTCTGAAATAAAAAATGTGTGGGAGTTCTGGAAATTATGTTTGATTCATACGATTTCACCAATGAAACTTTTTTTTGGAACACAGCCATTACATAAATCCTGAAGTACCCATACCATACACATATAAACATACTTTGCATAGCTACAAGTAGTCTCATAATTGGAGAAAGGCGGTTTATGTATGGTCCGATTAATAATGCTGTCACTAGCCCAGACTATACAGCAAAAAATAATAGGATCAGTAATGAATTATGTATTGGAAAGGATAAGGAAGGAGGTAACTGTGGTCTAATTTAAGTATTTGCCGGGAGACACCGAAGAAAACCACAACTCAGTCAGTCTCCTGGCCAAGATCTGAACCTGGAACCTCCTGAATATGAAGTAGTAGTGCTAACCACTGAACTGTGATATCTGATGGTGGCTGGATGTAAGCACATCCAGTAGAAAACCAGGTCACATTATCTTGCCACAGCAGAACCTCACTGCGGTGCCACTTGATACTGCCATCGTGGTCTCTCACAGCGTAGGAAGCGACATTCTAGGGCAGAGGTTAGAAATGTGCCACTTTCCTTTTTTAAGGGATGTAAATCCTATACAAAAAGTAGATTGTATTGCCTCTATACTGCACCGTGTATATTGCTGATGACTCAACGAATACTGGATGTTTCGCTAAGAATAAAAAAAAAGATGAAAATACCATCACCTCCAATTGAAACACTTTTCAATGTCAGATGTCCATAAAAAAACATTACTATCAGATAAAATACATTTTGTATAATATCACTATCACTAAATACCTATGACTAAAACAAAAAAAACATGAGAATTCATACTCAAATGTATTCACAGTCTTTTGTATAACGTAGACACCACAGTCTCTCAATTGATCTCAATACTGCAATGTGGCTTATTATATTCATATCATGACCAAATATTATAACACGAAGTTTAGTATTTCTTTATTCTTGCAAAGAGTCTATACTGACCATCAAGAAAACTTATATTTCTTTTAGCTTGCTGGAACTGTCATCACTTCAAACAAAATGGCAACTTAAAATACAGCACATAATCAAACCATTTATCTACACAAACTAAAGTCCATGTTACTCAAACAACGCACTTCTCATAAATTAATTTACAATACGAGGCCTGTTCGAAGTGTATCGGAGCCTTACTCAGTCGCTGGCAGTCGGTCTGTGAGTGAGTGTAGTGAACGCTCGTCGGATTTTCATTTACCGTGAAAAAAGTATAAAAGAAAACCTATTGCTGTGTCTTTGTCTTAATTCCAGTTAGACACAGAAGAAAAAAACAGATCAGAACCTAATAAATAACAAATGCGATAATGATAATAACAGAGAATATCAAGCAGTTCAAGAG